TTCGTTGAAATAAAAAAATATTTGCATAAAGTTGTTTTTGTTCATGTTGATATCAGAAGAATAAATGACCAAAGTACACTGCTTCCTTGCCAAATTGATTTACTTCTCTTTGAAATCGTAAAAAAATCGATTACTCTCTTCATAACATTAAATTGTTATTTCAAATTTGCGAAACTTTGTTTCGAAAAAACTAAAGAGGATGATATAAAAACTTAAACGAGTTAAACTATAACAAAATCTAAATTTAATAGATTTGTACAATGAAATATTGTTCAGGTTAAAATAAGTTTTAACGTATAATTACCAACAAGGTCTCTCTTGGGACCAACCATCATTGAGTTCCAGTTAAAACTGACATTAGTCGCCCAGTTACAAAACCCTCCATGATGTTTAGTTATAAACAAAATGTATCTGAAAAAACAAACACTACTGAACATGGGGTGATTCATGATTGAGTACTGAGTAGAGGTCATGGCTAAAATATGAAACACATTGCCAGGCAGGTTTCATTAGGGATTGTTTGACAACCTGAACTGATACATTAACATTGTGCTCAATGCCAAACGTTTCTTAGAATCGCCTCACGATGTGCATGTACTTGGTGTGTTTTGATCACACATATTCTGCATATTACTGAATAAACGTTTTTAAGCAGATCCATTCATCTTTTTCTGTGTGAGGATTTAACTACCCTAGCCCTTTGATCCAAAGGTTTTGTAGAAACATATCCATGTCGATGTGTGTTACGCAGACACACCCTCGCTCAGTCACTCACCAAATAACGTACACTCTCATCACTCTCATGTCACTCACTAACTCGGGCTGCCATGAAGCTATTAAGAGATTATGGGGGGTGGCGTAGCATAGTGGTCAAAACGTTCGCTCGTCACGCCGAATACCTGGATTCGATTCCCTACATTGGTACAATATGTAAAGGCCATTTCGTGATATTGCTGGAATATTGCTAAAAGCGGCGTAAAACTATACTCACTGACTCGCTACTAAGAGATTATTTACTGCAGCAATTACAACATAGGCTCACTCAGTGAATAAATGTCAACATACTTAGCTCCAGAGGCCGCAAACAATTCAGCCCAAGCTTCAGCATCATAAAACTCTGCCGTGAAGTCTCTTGCGAAGTCAGCATAGGTGAAGTCAGGTTTATAGTTGTCCTTCATGTACTGCACATACATTGGATCTTTGTATCCTTGCCATCTTTCCCAAAACCACTCGTTTCCAAAACTTGGAACTGAAAAGACTCCCCATGACACAAAGATTCCAATTTTGGCTTCATCATACCATGTTGGTAATGGCCTGGAATCTAGGGACTCCCACGTTGGGTCGTAGCGAATCTCAGTCTTCTTCTTGTTTGCTGAACGCCCATCTGCTGTCGTTAAAACTAGGAATATCAGGACGACCGTCTTTGTGTCCATTGTTGCTGAGGGATAGATGTGTTTGTGATCCTGCTGCAAAGTGTGATGGCATTTTAACACGATCCCTTTATGGCCAAAACGAAGTCAAGTACAGCTGATTACATCGAGTGACATATGTTCAAGGTTAAAGATAGGCTGGATGATAATGGATGTTTCCATGTCCGTTGTTTCACCTTGATTTGACAAGACCCGTGAATTTGCGTAAAGAGTGCTGGACTAAGAAAGTTGAAATTTGACATGTTTCTCGCGATGTCACCATAATTTGTATCAAGGATAATTAGTCACTTCTATTTTATATATTTACTGCTTAAACACCTGCAGAAATCACTATATATATACTAGTATATATATATATATATACATGTATATATAGATACCCCCCAGTTCCAGTTATGCTTGACAAAGGTACAAGAATCTGTATCAAAACGTCGCACTCAGGAATAAAAAAAGTTGTTATCCGTAAAGTTTGTTCTATATCATATCAAAGAAATTTATATTCTTAAGAATTATGATCTTCTCAGTAAAGCATGAAATCTGTGTCATTCTATTAATTCATTCCATCAGTTTAGGCTAAAAACTGCTCCGGCCAATGTTATGCAACATCCAGGAGAAAGAAGTAACCAATGGAAGAGGTAAAGGGGCATATGTGTGTTTAGTACAAAAAATGATAATACTGAGTAAAAAAAGAAACTTTACATTCTTTCTTCAGGGCACTATAAGAGTGCCAAGCTCCAGCAAATTCTGAGGTTGGTTCCTAAGACCACGAAGCTGTCTCCCAAGTGCATCCCAAACGTGCTCTATTGGATTAAGGTCAGGGGACCTCGATGGCCAGTCCATGACGTTAATTCCAGCGTTTTGAAGGAAATTTCGTGCCAACATCGCAGTATGCGGCCGAGCATTATCATGCGGGAACTGTAGACCTGGGCCATGAGCCGCCATGAAAGGAACGAGTTCAGGGGTGAGCACCTGGTCGCGGTAAGCAGCAGCTGTGAGGTTTCCACGGATGACCAGAAGTCGGGAACGGTTGTTACCACAGAAAGCACCCCACACTATGCAACTTCCGCCCCCGAATCTGTCGATTTCCTGTACACAACATTGGGCATACCGTTCACGACGTGGTCTCCAGACTCTATGCCTGCCGTCCGCGAATCTGAGGGTAAACCTGGATTGATCGCTAAAGACGACTCGATTCCAGTCTCTCTGGGTCCATCGTAGGTGACGTTGGGCCCACAGCAGACGTTGACGTTGATGAAACGGCGCCAATATTGGCCCACGATATGGACGTCGAGAATGGAGATTGGCAGCCCGCAACTGATTTCGAATGGTCTGTGAGGACCTCTAAACATCTCAGCCCTGGTTCGTGTAGCCGGCAGAAATCTGTCACGTAGGTGACGTAGGACGATTTGACGGTCTTCTGCTCGTGACGTCACACGTGGACGACCCGACCTTGGGCGATCAGAAGTGGTGCCAGTTTGTTGTAGACGACCTCGCAAGTCATACACTTTACGACGGCTGCATCCCATTGCTCTTGCGACGTCAATAACTGATCTTCCCGCTTGCAACATGCCAACGTGCGTTGCACATTTGACAATCGTGGCATTTCAAGAACCGTTAGAACTGTGGTTTAAAAGTGTTTATTAAATTCTTGAGGCCAATGCAAACACGTGTATATGAAGAAAACTTCGATGCGAAGATCACGTGATCGACTGCACGTGCAAAACCTGATTTGGCACTAACGTCATTTGCCGACGAATGGATGGGTTTGAAAGGGTTTGGGCTCACGTTTTTCTAGAGTCGAAAGATAGGGATCCCATTTCGGATACATAGATGTATCATCAGAGAAAAATCATTAATTATTTTTCAAATTAGTTTTTGTGATGTTTCTTTTTTGACTGAGTATAGTTCCATCAATTGAATTCTTTTTTATGCAAATGTTGCAAAACCATTTTAAGAGTTGCTTCCCTTTGCAATGACAGGATTTGCTGAGGCTGTTGATGGTCTCCCTCTTCGTCCCAAAATTGGGGCGGTTGGGTAGTCTAGTGGTTAAAGCGTTGGCTCGTCACGCCGAAGACCCGGGTTCGAATCCCCACATGGGTACAATGACCCATTTCTGGTGTCCTCCGCCGTGATATTGCTGGAATATTGCTAAAAGAGGCGTAAAACCAAACTTAGTCAGCTGTCGTCCCAACATTTTAGCTGACGAGATTATGCGATAGTGACAGTCATTGGTTTTTGCCGTCGGCGTTATATCTGCGGGAGGGATCCTACTATCTGCAAGGTGCGTTCAAGGCTGCGTTGACTGGTGTATGGGTTCAAGTAGTTCAACATTTAACCTTACACACCAGATGAAGATTGAAGCTGATACGAAAGTGCATACGTCTTCAAAATAATTTCTCAGCTTTGTTAGACTCACACGTCTGTCTGCGAATGGTTTGCATAATAGTTAATAATAAATTCTTCTTTAAAACTTTTGCAAAATCTGTCCAATCCTGTCTGCGGTAGTTGTTCTTCCTTAAGTCTATATAATTAGCATGTTTCTTTCCCAGTTCTCAACACAATCTGTCAGAACTAGCTTGGTGCTGAGAATGAGTGATGAAGCTTCCGAGATATATTTCATCATGTTATGTCGTAATCGGGCTGGAATCTAAAGATGCCCAGTTGGGTTGATAGCTAACTTCTAAATGTACCTGGTTTTGTTACGCGCTGGATCAAATAGTTACTAATAGTAGTGGTCAGGAAAACTGTATGGGATAGAGGGGTGGCCATTTCAACAGTGGTAACATTTATTATGGATGTTGAGACATAGCTCTGGCCCAACAGTTATCATGTATGGATATGTTGTTGTAATGTCGGTCAAGATCTTGATTGTTTTCTCTGTGACCTATGTGTTATGTGGCCTTGATGTGGGCTGACCTTGTCCTGTAGAAGGTGGAACAATTCAAACAGGGATTGGTGACAAGGGGCAGATGTGTCTTAGATTTCAGTGCTTCACACTTCTCGTCCATTGATAACATTATTCCTCATATTTGATACTTGGCTTGCAGATAACCCATTAACAAAATTGTTGAAATATCGTCTGGAGACTAGAAATTGTTTGTGAATGATGAGGTCAATAAATGCACACAGGTGACATGTTATGCCAATGGTACAAAACATCATATCATTTAATGTTTTGAGACTCGCCGTTTTATGCCTGGAGAAAAAAGTTCATAGCTGCAATAATTTCACGAGTCAAATACAACATTATGTTACACTTATCAAGTTGCCAGTGTTGGCACTAAAGAGAGGCTGTTGCAGATCCCCATAGAGAGAACTGAATCACAGTTAAACCATGATTTCGCTAATCTCTAACATTTAATCTATAAAATGAAGAAACATTGCCAACATTAGGTTACATATACTATTTATTGCAAGACAGACGTTCCTTGTTGAAAGGGAACCGATTTATACAATATGTTAATACCATTAAACCTCTTTTTAAAACAAAACAAAAACACAGACAAAACCCAAACAAACGTGTAATAAGTACTTATGTTAAATCTCTCAAGTATGAACATTTCATGAGGCTTAGTTTTGAACATTGGTGATGTTGAACACCCATGCCCACTTGCACGGCAGAGCGTTTGCTGGAATGGCCGGAATGTTGATGTTGATGCCTTGACCTGTAGCTTTTGTGTAGCTGAATGTCCCAGGGTAGCCAAGTAGACTGACCACAGAGTTGACATTAGGGATAGGGCGGATCAGCTGGAAGGTCCCTACGTTGGGCCAGCTCATGGCGGTTGCGTAGATGTCTTTTTCTTGTCCATTTGTCCTTGAGGTGTACCTGAACATGGTTCAACATTGAAGCTAAAGCAACAAGACCCCTTCCATTCTCATAAGACATCTGTGCATTGTTGACTGTACTATTCTGACCCTATCATGAGCATTGTAAATGCGTTGGGAATGAATAGTAGGAATACCTGGTGTTCGCAACCATGGAATAAGTCACAACATATACAGTTAATCAAAACATATTTTACAAGTGAAAAATACTGTACTGCATTGGACATCATTTCTGATCACCTGAATCATAACCTGACCACAATGCTATCGTTTAATTTTCTTTCTGGTAAAATGGATAGAATTATCATTAAAACGGCCCATGTTATTAGAAATGAACGGGCCACTGTAACTTGATAATGTCAACAAAATGCTTGACGACGGGCCATTATCAAGCCCGTTGTTAGTTGACGTCATAAGTAGCTCAGCTCATTATTGACCATATTTCTGACTCACATTCGTCACATGTACCTGTGCCAATTATGCACCTTCTTGCCGGTACCAACCATAACAATTGTACCATAAATTACAAGATACAGCAATGATAACATCGACTGGAACACTAACGTTGTTGAGTACTGACAAAAATGGCGGCTGGTAGTATGGGCAAAGGTCAAGGTCGAATGTCGTCACTCTCAATAGTGCCGTCGCCGTTTTGTTCTATGACGTTTCCATATTTGTAAAAGGTGTTTCAGTGACCTCCGTCGTTTGCTGTTCGCAGTAAATGCTTCAAAACCGATGCCGTTGTTTTTATTCTTATTTTATGAGAAATTCTATCCATTTTAGTTATATCGTCGGGCAGTTAATGAAAGACCTAGGGCTTCTACAAATGATAATGCCCTGAAAAATAGCGTTACCCTTATATGGAAATCAGTGTGGAAAGCTCGGTTGTACCCCAAGTTGTGAAAGGTAGACAGCAAATGCTTACCATATTTCGGGTATCACGGTTTCATTCTGGTAGGTCCAGGGTCTTGTTTCATAGATGCCTTCACCATTGACCTTGAGCCACTCGCCCATCTGCTTCAGCCTCTCCTCAGCTGACAACACCATAGGCAGTTGGTCCAACGTTCATGAGTAGATTACTGTTACAACTGGAACAGAAGAGACAATGTTCATGACAACGTAGGGTTGTTTGATCGTGAACAGCATGGAAGGTTAATGCTATGTCTCCAAGACTGCATGTATACATCATGTATTGAAATATTACCACATGTATAAAGCTGACTGCTCACATTTCTCATGGAAGACAACGGCTTCAAGAAGAGGAATTATGTGACAATGCTGAATGATATATAGGACATACATTTTAAAATGACAGTCGTTTGTAAGATCGCTCAAGATCATCAGTTATGAGCAGCCCCATGACAATGGTTGACAAAAACTATTTCTGTCTCGCACAATTAATAAGAAGGACGAAATATTCATATACTGCAACCATTATTGGTGTGGAAACTGGTTTACCTGACAGTTTTAGCTAGACTTTCAATGAGTTCCTCTATGGTCAGGTAGTCTGATAGGGGAGCATTACGTCGGAAGCCCCATGACCTCTTGTCTATTGTCATAGCATTCACCCACGTCAGTCAAATCAGAATGCATTATCACCTGTATACAATGAGAGCTAATAGAGTTTGGCTTGCAGTTAGGTTCGTCTGAGGGTATAAGACAGTAACTTAATGTACATGTTTAACTACATTTGCACCTTCTTATTCTTCCTAGTTCAGATATGACTCGGAATGCTGCTTTCTAATAGGGTGAGGGAATGAGAGGCTAAACTATAGTAAATAGCTTCACGACATTTTTTTTTTAAAACGTGCCTGAGTTTTGAGCTGGCAAACCAGCAGTTGGTGGTGTAATGAACACCAACCCAACAGCAATGCTGTGTTTAGCCACGTGAAGATGCAGGTAAGAGCTCGTCTGCAGCAATGCCCATTTGGTTGGTGCATGTCATCTTATGTTAATTGCAGGACATGTCCAGCTTGAGCCGTTTAGCAGCAAGCAACATTTCTGCTTCATACAGTAACATCTTCCTACCAACAGAATTTATGTTTGTTCACGTACCAGGATTGTATCTGTCTCCACAAGTATGTACCCCTCCGTGGGTACAGAGGCACCCTATACCCAACCGGTCATTGGTCACTACTTTATCCTTGATTGGGCTGGAATGTATACGACGTCATTTTGAGATTTGAACACTTACGTGTTGTAGGGCATGTAACCCCTGTCCATGTGCTCACATATATTTCCTACCTTTGTTGAACATTTGCCAATGCTGATCATGGGCTTGTGAGTGACAAGAGAATAAATCTTGTAACTAGTATTGTGATTCATTCAGGCAATATACAGAACACCTAAATATTTCGGCCATTTCACAAATTGATTCTATCATCTCTCAATTCACATAAAAGATTGACCATAAATCTATATAGTAAGACTGACTTGGAAACATTACAATAGTCTCGCCATGCAAGGAATATATATTGATTTTCATTTTGTTGTAATGCTATAATTTTCAGCCACTGGGTGATGCAATTTGGTATCAAACTTTGGCTTTATATTATGACAAATTACACGGGCAGATATTTGTCATTTTCTAAAATGAAAATGTTTACAAAACACTTTTTACAAATTGAGTGTAGCAATAGGCCGACAATTACATCAACAAATCTCCTTGTTGTGAAATTGTTCTCTTTGTCCTGGAGATAGAGAGGGTGGAACCACTCGTACAGCACATGGTACAGACCGAACCTTAAGTCCGTCTTGGTGCGGACTGCCTGTGCCAATTCAGCTGAAACAATGGAAAATGTGTTTGTCAGAGTCTGGAGAAATTTTCGTGTCTCAACTGATTTATGAGTTAAAAAATTCATTGGACTTTGGACTTTCTATTTTTATAGCTATATCTTATACAGCTGACATCGTCGTATAGCTCGTACAGCTTGTATACTTCCCTTTGGCAATTAAATCAGATGGTTTTAAAATTAGGTTCAAGGGAAAAATACACACAGGGATTAAAATAATTCAGACAAACCATCAAATAGAAAAGTAATTTTAGCATTCATTACCGACTATATTCCTTTTGGGCCCAGCAACCATTGAATTCCAACTGAAGGACACATTGCTCGGCCAGTGACAGAAACCCTCGCAGTGTTTACTCACGAAAACTGTGTACCTTGGGAAATCATACCGAGTGAGCGATTAGTGCTTATTAACATCATGAATGGTTTGCCAGCTCCACTCAGCGCATAAACACTGTAATATTCTTGATGTTATGAAGATGTACATTATATGCAAATGAGATGTTCATCCGTAACGAATGGTGAAATCGGAGTCATTGATACTTTTTGTGTGTTAATTCTTTATCCTAAACTCTGGCACCATTGCTTTGTCTGAGCCCCCAGACAGCGGAGGCCGATTAGGCAGTAGTCACGTCAACCTACCTGACTTATGATTCATATATTAAATCCATCACATTTCACAATGTCTGAAACCACTTATTAAATTTCAATTGATCATATATTATCGGCAGAATTAAAATTATAAACTATTTTTCGCAATGCTATTGAAAACAACGATTCTCGGACACATGCTTCGGCAGCGGGTCCACAATAACATTGTCAAAGAGCAAAGTCACGATGTTTCGAGGAAATCATTAAATAATTTCAATAAACTTTTGAATAAAATCAACAATAGCATTCATAAAAGTTGTCCAACGTACATATAAAATTACTATTTCCATCTTTTTGTTCGATCATGTAATGTCAAGTCAAGTCACTGACAAGCGACATCTTGGCTTTCGCCGCCTCAATCTTCACGCTCGGACATGATGTTTAATGCAAAAATATATGCATCAAGCATTTTTGTCATAGGTCATAACCTAGAACGATACGTCGAATAAGTTCCATAATTTACGTATAGGTTGCGATTTCTTGCTTAAAATGTTCAGAATAGCATTATTTTACCCAAAACCTAAATCTAAAAGTTTTCGTTTACGAGGACGGTATCCATTGCCGTTATATGATTGGCTGCCTTAGGTTACGCATCTGATAAAACCGCTTCTTACAACTCTCTATTGACCTTGACTGAGATACAGAACCATTAGAAGCACTCAATAACTACCAAAGAGAGGGACAGGGGGTTGTGTCCCATGAACCAGGCATCTGCAAGGTTTGTGAAATGTATAAAGTTTACTTGTGAAATACCTAGTAAACCCTGTATGATCACAGATGTGTAAATGTCTGTGTGACACTTTGCCAGCCAAGGTATGTAATGTCTAAAGTATCTGCTAAACTGGTGTGCCTGTCATTATTTGCCGGCCAAAACATGACATGCAGAGAATACCGTCCATAGTCCTTTCATGCTTGTGTTATTATTCTGACCAGCCAATGCCATGTATATGCTGGTGTGACTCTGTTAGTCTGGGCCAGTCAAGGTGTGGAGTATATAAGGTACCTACTAAACTTCTGGTGTGACTGTGTCATTCTGTGCCACCCAAGGTGTGGAGTATATAAGGTACCTACCAAACTCCTGGTGTGACTGTGTCATTCTGGACCACCCAAGGTGTGGGATATATAAAGTACCAACCAAACTCCTGGTGTGACTGTGTCATTCTGGGCCACCCAAGGTGTGGAATATATAAAGTACCTACCAAACTCCTGGTGTGACTGTGTCATTCTGGGCCAGTCAAGGTGTGGAATATATAAAGTACCCACCAAACTCCTGGTGTGACTGTGTCATTCTGGGACACCCAAGGTGTAGAATAGACAAAGTACCTACCTAACTCCTGGAGTGATTGTGTCATTCTGAGCCACCCAAGGTTTGGAGGCGTAGATGGCCTCTCCATTCACCTTCAACCATTCTCCCATCTGTCGCAGTCTCTCTTCATAGATTGGACTGATCATGTCATATTTGGTTGGCCCCACATTAATCAGCATGTTCCCTCCACAGCTGTAAATGAAAGAAACAGCATGAAACACTATTTGATAACTGGTATGATCATGATACATGTTAGGTCACAGGTAGGACAGCTTTCTAATTCATTGTGCAGAGTCACATCCCTCACATAGGTACATAGGTTCATGTTTGCCAGATCTAAGCCATACTATTAGCCTAAGGCCTTTGGATATTCCTCCCCCAAATGGATTATTTGAATTAAGACAGTAAGTTCAACCAGAAATCTTCAGAAAAGATTTGATTTACAGCGTATAAGATCGCAGTTCCACAACAATCATCAACAAACAATACATGGAAAGTAACAAAATGTGTTTAGGTATGTTGCCGAACAAGGTATTTATTCCAGTAAATAGTGTATCCTATAACACAACACAATGAGTCATGCTTGCAGTAGCTTTGGGCTACTCTGGAGTTCCTTCTATATGATGCTGCTCGAAATGCACGTTTGTTTCACTGTACCTCTGTTACATCAACTCTTCAATACAGCAGTGACATGGACTATGGGGTCAAGGAGCCTCGAGGCACTATATTGCTTAGGGTGTGTATCGCGGTTGTTTTTGTACCACTGTACCATCAGCAGTAAACGATGCTCATGTTGTCAACCACTTGTTTCATGTTGGCCATTACACATTTTAGTACGAGCTTTTCAATGTACATACATACTGGTTAGAATTGGTTTTCAGCAACCCATGCTTGTCGTAAGAGCAGATAATCGGGTTCGCTGACTTGGTTGACACATGTCGTATCTCAGTTGCGTAGATCAATTCACATGCTGTTGGTCACTGGATTGTCTGATCCAGACTCGATTATTTACAGACAGCCGCCATATAGCTGAATTATTGGTGAGTGCGGCGTTAAACTACAATTTTTTTTAAATAATTTACTTACCTGACAGTTTCAGCCAGCACTGCTATAATCTCATCACTGGTCAGAAAATCTTCCAGTACAGCCTCTCGACGAAATCCCCAAGATTTCTTGTCAATTGTCATTGCATCCTCCCACTTCCTTGGCTGAAGTACTCCTTTAAGATGTTAAAATATTTAACTGGATTGTCACATCCCATAACTCTTACATGTGCAACAACGTCATTTGATAATCGCTTATCACACAATATTCTGAACTTAAGCTGATTCACAGAGCTTTCAGAATATAGTGAATTCTTTGATCAATTGGAATTCAGTGATCCCCATCGACATACACTGATACATTGAAACTGAATTGCAAATATACAACATGAAGGCTAGAGAATGAAACCTCACTGATGATACCTGAGATCGTGAAAAGAGTCCTGCCCTTTCGTTGGCATCCTCTACTCACAGTGTGGTTAAACAAGAAATCAATTTCTTTTCTTTGACTTTTCTATTTCATATGATCAATGTTAGCTCCATGTGAGGTAATAATTGGAAGAGACTGGCCTTAATTATATCGTTTCTTACAGTGAGAATGATGGAGTGTAGCCTGGAGGTGTTCACTTATCACTTATCACAATGAAGGCATATGTTCGAGTACCCGAATGTGTATAGTGTGTTTAACCATTTCCGATGTTATTGCTTAATGTAGGTTACACATACTTACTAACTCACTCATTGACGTTTTATTTATTTTAGTACCTGGATTGTATCTGTCATGACATGTCAAGAACCCCCCATGGTGACAATGGTCCCCATTTCCCCATCTGTCATTGGTGACGACCTTCTCCTTCACTGGGTTGCAACAAGACCATATTTAAGAGATGAAATGTATAAAATGGTTAGAGCTTGATGCCGTATTGTCTCGAGTCCAGTTCGTTTGCCATGAGTTATACCCAGACTATATGAATACCATTGCCTATACAAGAATCCCAAAATGATAAAAGCTATGAATGATATATTTGCAAAAGTTGAACAGAACAGAGAGACGTTCTATTATCAAGCAATTCTTCTTAAATTCACTTGCCTAATTTCTTGGAAGATACCAAAAGAGGTCTCTATTGTTAAATCCACGTTGACACCGAGCAGCTGGATAAATGCATGTACAACAAGTAGTTGTTACAAGTGGTGGTCTATTGGAGCTTTTTATGTATCAAATGTTGGTCTGTTGTGGTAACCATAAACAGACTGAATGAACCTAATTTCTTAAATGATAATAATGTCATTTTCAGTTTCAGTTTCACTGACAGTTTCAGCCAGCACTGCTATAATCTCATCACTGGTCAGAAAATCTTCCAGTACAGCCTCTCGACGAAATCCCCAAGATTTCTTGTCAATTGTCATTGCATCCTCCCACTTCCTTGGCTGAAGTACTCCTTTAAGATGTTAAAATATTTAACTGGATTGTAACATCCCATAACTCTTACATGTGCAACAACGTCATTTGATAATCGCTTATCACACAATATTCTGAACTTAAGCTGATTCACAGAGCTTTCAGAATATAGTGAATTCTTTGATCAATTGGAATTCAGTGATCCCCATCGACATACACTGATACATTGAAACTGAATTGCAAATATACAACATGAAGGCTAGAGAATGAAACCTCACTGATGATACCTGAGATCGTGAAAAGAGTCCTGCCCTTTCGTTGGCATCCTCTACTCACAGTGTGGTTAAACAAGAAATCAATTTCTTTTCTTTGACTTTTCTATTTCATATGATCAATGTTAGCTCCATGTGAGGGTAATAATTGGAAGAGACTGGCCTTAATTATATCGTTTCTTACAGTGAGAATGATGGAGTGTAGCCTGGAGGTGTTCACTTATCACTTATCACAATGAAGGCATATGTTCGAGTACCCGAATGTGTATAGTGTGTTTAACCATTTCCGATGTTATTGCTTAATGTAGGTTACACATACTTACTAACTCACTCATTGACGTTTTATTTATTTTAGTACCTGGATTGTATCTGTCATGACATGTCAAGAACCCCCCATGGTGACAATGGTCCCCATTTCCCCATCTGTCATTGGTGACGACCTTCTCCTTCACTGGGTTGCAACAAGACCATATTTAAGAGATGAAATGTATAAAATGGTTAGAGCTTGATGCCGTATTGTCTCGAGTCCAGTTCGTTTGCCATGAGTTATACCCAGACTATATGAATACCATTGCCTATACAAGAATCCCAAAATGATAAAAGCTATGAATGATATATTTGCAAAAGTTGAACAGAACAGAGAGACGTTCTATTATCAAGCAATTCTTCTTAAATTCACTTGCCTAATTTCTTGGAAGATACCAAAAGAGGTCTCTATTGTTAAATCCACGTTGACACCGAGCAGCTGGATAAATGCATGTACAACAAGTAGTTGTTACAAGTGGTGGTCTATTGGAGCTTTTTATGTATCAAATGTTGGTCTGTTGTGGTAACCATAAACAGACTGAATGAACCTAATTTCTTAAATGATAATAATGTCACACCAAATGACTGCACCAAATTGTTAACTATCAACCCTGTAATTTCCGCTTTCAGTGTATTTACACAAAGACACAGACTAACGCTGAGTCTCTGAATACATGTATATGTAATTTTGATTGTAACAAACAAACCCATTTAAATTGAAATGAAGCCCTATGGAGACCACAGGTTCAGAACCTGAACCTGATAAAATCTAGACTTGCTTTATTTGAGGCTTTAACAATGCAGGGAGTGCTTGTCTGTAGGGAAAAACATTATGGGTCCAGGACTGTGTGACAGACAAAAAAGACCCAAAGTAAAAGGGTACAATGTTTTACCACCGCAACCGTATACCTGTCATTGTAGAGCCAGGCCAGAAACTCCTTGGACTCCCAGTAGGTGTCTGGAGCCAGCGGGTCGCCATCGGACCACACAATGTCCGGCTTGTAGGTGTTCACAAGCTCGTACAGCTCAGGCATGGTCTTTTCCTGAAATTGATTTGATTTTCATGATAAATTGTGACATTGTAAACTCTGCAAGATCAATACGATTAATGTTCTGTTGGTTCCACAGGACAACTTTAACAAATCAATTACTGAACCTGGTCAAGTGACCACACCAGCTGAACATTTTGTTCTGTGTCTTAGATGTATGAAGCTCCATATAACCCAGTAAGTTTCAGCTTTTGCAGGAGGATATCTAGCATTGACTTCAGCCTTGCAGAAAGGCAACTTTTACCTTTCCTGCAGGACAAAGTGTGGGTTTACGCCACTGGCTATGGGGATGGTGGGCTGCATCACAAATGGATTAAGTACCATGTACCCAAACCATCATTTTCAAACTGAACTAACCTACCAAACTTACACTTTCATTCATTGCTGACCTTAGCAAACCTGTTGGTGGTGTAGTTTTTGGCCTTGTCCTGTAGAAAGAGTGGGTGGAACCACTCATACAGGGAATGGTACAGGCCGAGGCGCAGATCTGTCTTGGATCTCAGTGATTGAGACATCTCACCTTTTGTTAACACAAGGACTCATATTATACACTTGGTTTTAAAGATAATCTATTTTCAAATTTAACACAAATTCGTTGAAATAAAAATATGTGTGTAAAGTTTACTTGTTTCGCGTTGAAATCAGAAAAAAATAAATGACCAAAACGCCCGGCTTGGAGTACACTGCTTCCTTGCCAAATTGATTGACTTCTCTTTGAATTCTTAAAGAAAAATAACACATCTTCATAACATTAAAATGTTATTTCAAATTTGCGAAACTTTGTCGGTAAAACTGCAGAATATGACATAAAAAAACAAGTGAGTTAAACTATCACTAACTAACATTAATAGATTTGTACAATGAAATATTCTTTAGGTTAAAATCAGCTTTAACGTATAGTTACCGACAAGGTCTCTCTTGGGGCCAACCATCATTGAGTTCCAGTTGAAACTGACGTTAGTTGGCCAGTTGCAAAACCCTCCATGATGTTTAGTTATAAACACAATATATCTGGAAACAACATCAACTGGGGTGACATATATAATTCATGATTGAGTATTAAGTAGATGTTAGGCTAAAATATGAAACACATTGCCCCTTTACCCATTACTGTTTCATTAGGGATTGTTTGACAACCTGATATGAATTATTAACATTGTACTCAATATAAAATGCTTGTTGAATCGCCTCACGATGTGCATGTACTGGGTGTATTTTGATCACACATATTCTGCATATTTCTGAATAAGCATTTTTAAAGCAAACTCATTTATCCTTTTCTGTGTGAGGATTTAATCATCCTAGCCTTTTTATCCAAAGGTTTTGTAGAAACATATCCATGTCGATTTGTGTTACACATAAACACCCTCGCTCAGTCACTCACCAAATAACGTACACTCTCATCACTCTCATGCCACTCACTAACTCGGGCTGCCATGAAGCTATTAAAAGATTTATTACTGCAGCAATTACAACATAGGCTCACTCAGTGAATTAATGTCAACATACTTAGCTCCAGAAGCCGCAAACAGTTCAGCCCAAGCCTCAGCATCATAAAACTCTGCCATGAAGTCACTTGCAAAGTCAGCATAGGTGAAGCCAGGTCTATAGTTTTCCTTCATGTACTGCACATACATTGGATTTTTGTCTTCTTGCCATCGTTCCCAAAACCACTCGCTTCCAAAACTTGGTACTGAAAACAGTGCCCATGACACAAAGATTCCAATTTTGGCTTCATCATACCATGTTGGTAATGGCCTAGAATTAGAATCTAGAGACTCCCATGTTGGGTCAAAGCGGATCTCAGTCTCCTTCTTGTTTGCTGAACGTCCATCTGCTGTTGTTGATACAGCTAGGAATATGAGGACTAGCGTCTTTGTGTCCATTGTTGAGGTCGGTGTGTTTGTGATCATGTTTCAAAGTCTCTTTATGGACAAAATGAAGTCAAGGACAGTTGATTATAACAGATATCTATATTTTCAAGGTGAAAGGCTAGATGATAATGAATGCACTCGCCACGTTTCTTATGTGTCCGTATTGTCATAGCTGAAATGTACAGACATGTATTGACACTGCATTTGTTCAAGAGTGTCCAGTCTTTCACCGTGGTGCCATTTAGTATTCACTGCCATTATTACACTGAAATCGTCTTCATGCTCAGTTTGTAACCGTACACAACATGCTTGTTCCTTTTATTCTTTTCAACAACAACACAAACGTATATTGTCCATGATTAGTGTCCTAAGTCCGTTTCCCCTCAAATGCATTCTTGGCTCTGAAACCATTTTGTGGCTCTGAAGGAGTAGGACGTATTGAAACGTGGCATGAATGTTTCTTTCTATGATGACATCATCATATTTTCATTCTATAATTTATGTGATATTTTGGAGAAATAATATTTTATACCTCAGTGGAATGTTTCTGTGAATTGTGACAAAATAGTTTCAAGTCAAATGCCATATTATAATCAAAGGTAGAATACTTTCATTCATTCAGGCTGTCAATATTTATTCAAAGTAATCATTTTTTGTTATGCTTATGTTTAAGTTGTCTGTAAATTTTATTTTATACGATCGAATGATTATGAGCGTGATGTAGAAATATAAGTAAAAAATCGATGACAGTTCTCATTCATCGATTTTAGTTTTAGTCAATCTCAGGCTAGGCAATATGAATACCGATGACGGTAGTGCGCTAGTAGACTTGGCCTATTTGTATTGTAGGCAATGGTATCAAACATGGTGTCTCAGTGGAGTTTGAAATGATCCCACGTCCATCATATCAAGTGTGGAAAGTACCGACAAGGCCTTTACTGTTATTACCCGGATAAGCCGACTTTTGAAATCTTCGAACATAATCACACATCAGGAATGCGAATTCAAATGTTAACAATATGTTTAAACATTTCAACCCCGTCTGACTTGCTAGAAATCCTACCATGACAGGCCATACATGTTAAGAGACAAACCGGAAGAAGGCAGTTACAAATATCGTATTGTACATACAATCAATTAAAGTCTTAGACATTTTACGACAAATACAATCTCCACAGATGAGTTAAGATATCAGCAGCTGCCTTGCATTTTTACATCAGATTTGCAGTTTCAAATCACTATATCCAGTTAATTTGAATCTGGTTAATGTCACTATCTACTATGACCAATGTAGATTTAGGAAATGACAAGGACATCCTATACATCATACCTCAGTTGCGGGAACAATGACACTCACGGTGCAATGTGAGTGGTTTTACGACTGCAATCATTTCCATGATCATAATGCGTCACTGCTAAAAGCAAAGTCGACGGTCCAAAGTCTACGTTGTATGCGTGATGGTCCACTTGTCGTGGGTCTGTTACACGTTGATGGGCGGGGACGAGGTACGCTGTGTTAGTCGAGACCAGGAAGTGAAAACGAAGTCTGTCACGGGTACATGGTCTACACGAAAACGCTCTGCATAGATTGAAAATAATTTTTCATAGACACATTTTGTATAATATTTCGAAACAATGAAAAAATAGCAAATGTATGTATGTATGTATGTATGTATGTATGTATGTATGTATGTATGTATGTATGTATGTATGTATGTATGTATGTATGTATGTATGTATGTATGTATGTATGTATGTATGTATGTATGTATGTATGTATGTATGCATGCATGTATGTATGTATGTGTGTATGTGTGTGTGTGTATGTGTGTGTATGTGTGTATGTGTGTTTATATGTGTGTGTGTATGTGTGTATATGAATGTGTGTGTACGTACGTACGCACGCATGTATGACTGTCTGTGTGTGTGCGCGTGCGTGCGTATGAATGGATAATGCATTGCACTTGTTCGTTACAATTTGTTGTGAACAATATTTTTATATTGATACGAAAGCAGTAAACCTATTTCATGGTTCGTGAGACACCACAGCTAGAGTTAGAGACGACTGTACAATTCTGACTTCATCATGAACATGTGTTTATGAATCACTATCAGTCAGTGATTATACCTTGTAAGACCTCCAAATGCCTGCCATAAAAAGTGTTAAAGCTTTACTGACGTCTTTAATGTTGTAACTTGAATCAAGCACAGTGGCGTAGCTACCATTATGAAAAAAGCCCGGGCTTACACATGATTGTTGCTGAAAAGGTTGCGCAAGCCCTCAATACTATCTAAAGATAAAGCTTTGCAACGTATCGGGCTTGCACGAATAAATTGGCTTGCTACGCGCCTGAAGCAGCTTCTGATCGAGTGTCTCTGATACTCTTTGAACTTTTCGTAGAAAGAGCATGGCCAAATGTATATTAAGGGTTGGGGTTGTTGGAAGTTACTCTCTTTTTAAAATAGTCATCATGCTTTTTTTGATGTGTGGTCGTTTTATAGTGCTTTTCAAATGGGGATTTTGAATTATCTCCTAGTCATTCAGGAATATATTGTTGTGTTTCTGTTTCTGAGTCCACAAGATGGCGTCAAATCGGTACTTTGCATGACCACGGTTGGCAGCAATTACTGCTCGGCGCAGGCTGGATAAGTCTACGAAATCGCTCTTGCGGAATTCTTCCCCACTGTTCCCGCAATGTGTAAGTGTCTGAGGCGTACACGTCGATCGAGTTCATCCCATGGGTGTTCTATCGGCTGTAGATCTGGTGATCGGGAAGGCAATGACAAGACACTGACGTTAGAATTGGCAACGTAGCGGACCGTGACGCGTGCCGTATGTGAGTAGATGATGCTTTTCATATCCAGTTCAAGTCAGGCTATACCTACCCATGTCTCTCTTACAGACCCCAGAGCATATATGATCAAAATGTCAACAACTTTTAAGTCTCATCCCCTGGCGCTGGGGTAGCCGAGAGGTTCAAGCGTTATCTAGCCATGTCGATGCCTGGGTTCGATTCCTCGGGTTCAACGTGTGAAGCCCATTTATGGTGTAAATAGCTGGTATTTTGCTAAAAGCGGCGTAAACCTAAACTCACTCCCTCCTTCTCAGCTACGGCAGTCAATGCTTATCCGATTTCCAACTCTAAAATGCTGACACTTGAGGGTTCTTCACAAAAAAATGCTTAAATCTACTTTCATACATAAATATGTTACGATAAATACGAATTTTTATTTGTCAATCCAAGTTGGTCTTTCGCCTCACCCTTGTCCAGTATAGAGCCATCTATCTTTGAAGATCCAAAATTTGAGTGGTTATGACATCATACCATTTACAGATTTTAGCCAATTAATTCAGTTAGCAAGAGTAACAGTGGCGCTTTAAAGCGTCAAAGGGATTTTATAAATATCTTTTAAATATTCCTTACCAACCAACAGAGCTGCCTCTGAGTCGGCTCAATTCTGACTCACACCCCGAGCTTCGACGCTCATTTGTCAAAATTTCAATATTTGCTACTCAAAGAAGTTAAGAACATCTACTATATTACTGATAATTAATCAGCATTGTCTATACAATACTAACAATAGGGATATTTATAACGCGCCTTTTCCAGGCCAGATATTAAGGGTGGGTATTGCAGAGAATTTTCATATTGCGATATATTGCGATGCGAAAGCATGTATTGCGATATGTATTGCAATATATTGCATGAAGTATTTTTAAACAAAAAACTACTTAAAATCGAGTTAATTCTTGATTTATAGAGCAAAAACACAACAAAATGACTAGGCTTGATTAAGCTTTAATAACAACTTGTAATCATGATAAATTAAAAATATGAATAATATTTGGCACAAATGAAACAAGGACATATCCGAAGATTTCCGAGTGCAAGTCAAAATACCGGTTTTCGATCAGCGTATCGCAATACGTATCGTTTTCAAGTCTGAACCGGTAAATACCGATAAGCCGGTTATATTGCGCAGCCCTACCAGATATCCTGCTCAAAGCGCACAATCTGATCATTATGACTCCGGATAACCCGAGCTGCCTGTTAGGCGCTAGAAGGTTAATAGTGTGACGACATAGTTCACCAAGTACCCATTTTCTGCTGGGTAAACAAAGGCAGTTTTGAACAAACGCACTTGCTTAAGATGAGACCACATGTATCACATGTGCTTCATTGTGGGGCAGGACTGAAGTACTAGAAACTCTCAGAAGTCAAGCTGTCACACACGGTCACCCATCCAAGGCCCGTTGCAACAACTGATTGTGACCTGAGCTCTATCCACAGGACCACACATATGAAAGTATCAGGTGTCCTTTAAATTTATTTGGAGCACTATTGTTTGTCTAAGTATTAGATGTAAACTGCTGGTTGTACTGACAACCACCACTGTGCAGTGTGAGCATATAAAACAAACAGGAAGGGGTTTGAAAATGATTTTCCTTTAGAAAGGTAGCATAATGTGCAAACTGTTTTGTATTATATATATTGTATGTATTAAAGCACGCTGCACAGAATGTGACTTGTTTGAGAAGTCGGATCTCACTTTTCCTCATAAAAGAAACTCACCTCGTACAGAATCCAACAAAACTAACTTCCGCCCGTCATGTTTGACTTTCGAGGAACAATATGGGCGTGACTGTGGAACGATCTGTTATCAGTGTGCTTTCAGTGAACACGGAAGGCTTCTCAAATGTTGACCTTCTACCCTGGAACAGCACTTGCATGGAGATTTTTTCATGTGTCTTATTGAAATATGAGGGATCTGTCGTCGAGTGACGTGAAAACACGTAATATTTTCACCAGGAAATATTATATTTATATTACATTAAAATTACACACTCGATTAACGACATCCAAATTCTCCCAACTGTAAACTAAAGACTTTTCATATCTTATAGTTCAATATTCGAATATAAAATATCGTGACAATACATATTTGTATCAGTTACAGTGTTTTATTTATTGCTATTGTTTGAATACGATCATCATGATATCCATGGAACGATCCGTTTTATCTGAGCATCCATGTCAGAAGTATATTGGTTTCCTGGCGCACGAATAAACATGAACCACAAACATGGCGGACCGAGAGAAAGGGAAAAGTGCGGTTAACAAAAAACAGAAGTATTTACTGTGTGAGTAAGCATAAATACAGGCAATGACCGCTTCCAGTCGTGTGAAATAAAATTCACTCGCAATGTTGTTTTTAGAGCTAACAGTATACACACACCCCAACCACCCCACCCCCACCCCCACTGCTTGTTCTTCATCAGTTCGTGGCGGTTGGGTAGCCTAGTGGTTAAAGACCCGGGTTTGATTCCCCACATGGGGACAATGTGTGAAGCCCCCGCCGTGATAATGCTGGAATGTTGCTAAAGGCGGCGTAAATCTAAAACTCACTCACTCACTCTGCATCAGTCCTGATGGCGGGTGGCGATATGCATAGCGCACAGAGTGTAGTGGACTAAGAGAGTAGTGGACTCAGAGTGTAGTGGACGTTTAATCGCTTTCGTCAGCGCCCTACACATGCTGCACTGGTAGTATCACCTGGACAAGTGAAATATGCCCATGTATATACTCATGATATAGTCACAATTATTCAAAGGAATCTGCTTTTAGCAGAGATTTTTATTGAAGTGAAATGGGTTTGGTCGCTTCTATGTACCAAGCCGTACTAAAGACAGAAGAGATGATAATGATGTTACTGTTACCCTTCTCATAGGCGGATCCAGGAATTTTCAGGATGGGGGAGGGTACGCCAATGCTCCTAACGCCTAATAAGGCAGCTTGGATTGCATACTCCTCTAGGAGCTGAGATTGTAAATTTAGTGCACAATGTTCCCAGTGAATATCGTCTGTGTAATTTATGTAACTCTCATGCAGTGGGAGATGAACTCCATTATCTGTTCAAATCCGATGCTTTATTGCTGTATAGACAAACATATTTACCTTCTTACCTGAAGTCAATAACGTTGTGGAAAGTCGTCAAACTGTTCTGGTCTAAACAGACCCATGTACATTAATGTACATTAATGTATTATTTAAGTCTACAAAGATACATTAACCTTTGGTCTTTTTTCGCTTTTATCTGCCATCTTGACATGTATATTTATATGACTATAGTAATATTGTATTCTCATGTACCACCATTGGTGGTGTTTTGAGTAATAAATTGAATTGAATTGAATTGATGCAATGACCGGGCAATAACGCTAGCGCTTTGAGTTTGCAATGAGTGTGTTAGCAAATTATATGGAGGTTAGTAAAATATAATTACTATTATTGTCATTTCTATTGTTATTTTTGCTATTATCATAAATAGTCTATTTGGGAAAAAAACTGAGCACGCTGAAAGCAAATTATGCATTTGGCGTAATGATTTAAACGTGAAAATATTGCAATATAAAAGTGGTAACATATACTGCATCTATATAGGTTATCACGCGAGTGTGTTTTGGGATGGTTGACATCCTGCATTAGGAATAAACATAGTGTGATAACCTATATATATGCAGCATATGTTACCACTTTTTATATTAAATGTTTGCTTAATGCAACAGCAAATTGAAATGCATGTACCCATTGCAGTTTGGGTATGGCAGTGTTTTTGTCTTGCGAACGACACTGTAATCAGAAACACATTAAGATAAGTTTTATTGCACACTTCATGTTTTATGTAGCCTTACCCTGATCACGAATATTTCCTTACAACTTGAGACATGCTCTAAAAATTTAACGCTTTTTCAAGATCGGAGCGGCTGTTTATGAGTGTGTGTTTTGTGCAGATCAAATATATATACACCTTCATCAATTATTTTTCCGGTCTTGTTGCATGAACAACAATCGCATATCGTCGTTTACTTCTTACATATAACACAACTTATCAGGAATAATGCTGTGCGGGGTAACGTTATCTATTTACTTTCTGATGTATATGATGTGAATATCGGGTGCTACCGGTAGGGCGGGACATGGCAACCTTTTCGTGGACACTCGGTGTTATCCCTTATTTTCAGTCATTAATTTTCAAAACAATTGTTTTGCCCAAATGGAAAATGTTCTTGAGGATAATCTAGACTGGGTATTCCTTTGCACTGACGTTCAATATTGTAGATGTATGCTGTGTACGAAACATTGAAAATAGGATTATAATATCTGTATTGCGATCATTATATGGCATAACACCGTGACAGACGATCTACCTGAAGTCACACATTGTACTCCGTGTGCTCGAGGCTGAGCTAAACGAAGTCTTATTGGTCGATGCAACCAGGAAGGTAAAATCTGGGTTTGAAAGGTCGTCTAACTGCATTTCTGCACACATTGTACAGGTCTTTGTATTGTGGAAGTTGTGTTTGTGTATTTTGCCACTTGATTCAAGGCGGATTCAATCAGCTACCCAGCAACTACACCATAAAGTAAGTCCCATGCTTATATACTAGTATTCAAAGTGATTCCCATGAGAAATCAAAATCATATGAAACTGGAACTCACTGATTCAATATTTTTGTATGACCTTTGCTGCGTTTGTGAGGGGTGTCGACAGTTTTGTTGGCTACTCCTACCTTTAGGTGAACCTCTGTTATCATCAATCGTTTGGTAATCAATTGGTAATTCGTAATAAACCTATGCTGGTAATACAGCTGGAATCATATGATGAACTCGGTAGATAGTTCCGTCAAACATGGATAAGATTTGCCGCTTTTATTTATCTGAATGTTTTAACGTATAAAAAGAAAGCTTTACACATTTAATCAAGCACAGTTTAGTCTGAAAGGACTTTGCGCCTTATTTGGTTACTGCTTGAGTGATATCTATACTAGCCACATAAAGAAACTGTGCATTGTCAAAATATTATCCCGGTTGATAAGTACGATAACAATGTCAAAGGTCCATATAAACTTTAATGGAGGGATCATGAGACCATAACAAGTCGGGAGAATTTCAATTGAAAAGTCAATCACAATGACGTCACGAGTCCCCAAGCGGGACAGGGGTCGAACGACCATGTCACAAGCTCAATAACGGGTATGTCCACCATCGGCATTGAGAACAGCAGTGCATCGACGACGCACAGAGTCTATCAAACGTGCAAGGAAGGCTTGTGGGATGTCACGCCAGATTCTCTCAAGTTCTGTTGCAAGGTCAAGGACGTTATCTGGCGGATGAGGAAGACGGCGTAGACGTCGATCCATCTCGTCCCAAACATGCTCTATCGGAGAGAGATCTGGTGAATTTGCAGGCCAAGGCAGTAAGTCAACGTTGTGGTGTTGCAAGAAATCCATAGCACCCCTTGCCGTATGAGGGCGGGCATTGTCCTGTTGGAATGTTAACCCAGGGCCATGACGTTGCAGAACAGGAATTGCCACAGGTCGAAGAATCTGATCCCTGTAGCCCACACCAGCTAAGTTGCCCTGAACAATCACCAAAGGAGTTCTTTGGCGTGCTGTTATTCCACCCCAAATCATCACGGAACCACCACCAAAGCGATTCCTCTCCAAGACACAGGCCTGTGCATAACGTTCTCCCACGCGTCTATAGGCACTTTGACGTCCATCACTATGGGAAATGTTAAACCTGGACTCATCTGTAAAAACAACATTTCTCCACCAAAACAAGGATCTGCGGACATGATTTCGGCACCACATTCGGCCAGCTTGTCGATGACGTTGTGTCAGGATAGGCCGTATGGCGGGACGTCGTGGTCTGATCCCGTGATGACGTAAACGTTGTCGAACTGTGTTGGGGTGGATACGGCGAAGTCCTGGGATGGTTCGGGCAGTCATCACTGCAGTCTGCAACCTGTGGCGAAGATGGGTCACCCTTATCCATCTGTCCTGTCTTGGCGTTGTTACACGTGGACGTCCAGAACGTGGCCGATCGATGATGTCATTTGTGTTCTGGTAGCGTCTCCCCAGTGCAGAAATGGTGTTCCGGTGGCAGTGGAAATGTGCAGCCACTTGTCGTTGAGAAATTCCTCCACGGACCATCCCAATGACGTTGTGCAGACGTGAGCCTTGGCATGCTATGCGTTTCAATAGCCGTTTAATTTTTTGAGCGATCGCAAGGGCAGGGGTTGAGCTTTCCAAAGTGACAGTATTGTGTGGCATTCATTTGCTCTGTTTCTTTTTCCCGGAATGCACGTGCAACAACGTATTGCACGTCTCAAGGACGAACCCACTGACGTCACGGAACGGGGCACGTGCATGCATGTTGGATACATGTCACTAATCTCTGAGTTTAAATCCTTCTGTGTCTACACATGATTGATAAATTTAGATTTTAAATTTTTGTATGCACAGTTTCTTTATGTGCCTAGTATAGTATGTGCTGCAATCTAAGCTTTGTTCTAACCCGTAAAGAATTGGTCATTAGCAACCAGTGCTCGTCGTAAGGAGGACAAACGGGATCGGGTGGTCAGACTCGCTGACATTGTTCACTGGTTGACATATACAGTCGTATCCCAAGGAGATCAATGCTCATGCTGCTGGTCACTGGATTGTCTGGTCGTGATTCGATTATTTACAGACCGCTGCCATATAGCCGGAATATTGCTGAGTGTGGCGTTAACAAAACCCAGACACCCATTCAGTGTTAGCTTGTGGACGGGTTAGCGTCTTTAGTCATCCTGACAAGTCGTCCTCGGACCAGAAGTCCCTTGGTTCGAATCCAATGTGTGTGAGTTTAGTTTTAAGCCGCATTCAGCAATATTCCAGCCATATGGTAGCGGTCTGGAAATAATCGAGTCTGGACCAAACAATCCAGTGATCAACAGCATGAGCATCGATCTACGCAACTCGGAACCGATGACATGTGTCAACCAAGTCAGCGAGCATGACCACCCGATCCCGTTACTCGCCTCTTACGATAAGCATGGGTTTCTGAAGGTTCATTCTAGCCCGGACCGTCACGGGTGAATCCCATTTGGGGCTACAATTAGCTTCCGACGTATGGCTGAGCATGTTCATGGGACATTTGAACACAATAAAACTCAGGAACCGACTTTGCGGCCCAGGACGTGCTTTCTGTTGATGAGGGACTATGTCGCAGTGCTTAGAGTCATCCCATACGTAGATGATATCCTTACCTTGTCAGCTTCTTGACGCGGTTAACCATTTCGGCTGTGTGGACAAACTCCGTGGTTCCAGTGGACTCGGAAATTTCATGGTCACAGTTTGTAACTACCGCTCAGTAAAGGCAACCAGAGTGACATTTGTAACCCCCATAAGTACCACGTTTGTGACAATAAAGCAGGAACCCAGTCTACACTCCAATGATATCATCTCAGAGTGATGGCCTGTATGCCCTGTAAACAGAGAAGGCCGAATGTCCATTGACAAATATAAGTGTATGACTACGTATGAACCCGTGAAGATTCAGTAATCCATGCTTGTCGTAAGAGGCGACTAACGGGATCGGGTGGTCCGGCTCACTGACTTGGTTGACACATGACATCGTATCCGAATTGCGTAGATTGATGCTCATGGTAAGGATTGTCTGCTCCAGACTCGATTATTTACAGACCGCTGCCATATAGCTGGAATATTGCTGTGTGCGGTGTTTAACAACACCCAAACCAAACCAAACTACGCAAAACATACTTTTCAGTGTCATTCAATAGCTATATCACTGTTCGAGAAAATGTGAGGGTGTCCTGATTCATGGACACACGCTTATGATGTGATCGGACTCGTACAGCTGAGACTGTGTATGATTTTTATTTACTGATATCCAATTTAGCCGCACAATCTGATTTTAAGACGACTTCATGACAATTGTCATACCCCGAATGTCTCAGGGCGTACTGTTAACAAGATCGTTCATGGCATACATTCAGGGGCAAAAGAAACGATACCATATTATTGAGGCTAATTAATGAAAGATGACAAAAGATAAACAGAAAATCAATGTTGTAATTTGAGGACAAATAGGTGAGGAGCATGGGAAATCAAATTCATTAATCGAGGCCAATTATTGTTTGAGATAATCGCAAAAAAACACATAATATTCATATGTCCTGTATTCGATCACTCCAGTATGATGAGATAAGTCAATGTCAGTGACACAGGGACACTCCTGTGAGTCAATATCGAGTATGGTCACCACAGGCATCGATGCAGGCTCTAACACGACGTCGAACAGATGAGGTCAGACGTCTGATCACGTGAGGAGGTATCCTGTTCCACTCCTCCCTCAAACCATGGATGAGGGTTTGTCTGTCCACTGGGGCGACCTGTCTGGCACCAATCTGTCTCCCAAGATGGTCCCACAAATGCTCAATGAGTGAAAGGTCCGGAGAGCGTGATGGCCATGGCAGGACAACAACGTTGTTGGCGTAGAGAAAGCCTTGAACACGTCGACCTGTGTGACATGGAGCGTTGTCCTGTTGAAATACGGTTCTTGGATTCTGTTGTAGGAAGGGTAGAACAACTGGCCGAAGAACCCGGTCGATATAACGCTGCCCATACAATTCCCATCGACAACAACCAGATCCGTCTTTCTGTCACCACATATCCTTCCCCATACCATAACGCCACAACCGCCAAACGGCTCAACCTCCTGCACGCAGCAACGGGCCGTCCGTTCTCCTCTGCGTCGATGCACTCGTGTCCTGCCGTCAGGTCTGTTGAGGAAGAAGTATCTGCTGTCATCAGTAAATAAGACTCTGTCCCATTGTCTGCGCTGCCAACCTTGAACGATATGTGCCCATCTCACACGTCGACGTCGATGGAGGCGCCTCACAGCTACACCACGGTAGGGTCTGTAGGCTCGGATACCATGCTGACAAAGTCTCCTGGACACAGTCCTTCGGCTGATACGATGACCCAGCGCAGTCGATGCTGATGACGTCACAGTGAGGAATCGGTTGCGCAAATGCAGGGTACGCAAGTACCGGTCTTCAGCTGGGGTCGTGATCCGAGGTCTGCCACTCCTCGGCCTATCCTGTGTCCTGCCTGTCTGTCTGTCTGTAACGGGTCATCGGCTGTAAGTCGGCTACAACCGAAGATCCTGCCGACGTGATTGTGGGTAGCGCCAAGCTGGATCATGCCGATTACCCTTTCTCTCACTTCTTTCGATAATCTCGGCATGGTCGCAAATGTAATCGTAAAATGTAAATGTCCATAAACATTTTCACGTGCTTTTATACCGAATATTTGTCACGTGTGTCATGTGTGCAAGGGCACGAAACTTTCGTGAATAGGTTCACTTTTCTGGGTTCTTGCTTTACACGTGCATCGCTGTTTCATTGAGTTAGTTTTGTTGTGTTCGGCTGAATGTTTCTGACCATAAATACTCAAAATATCAAAGTCAAAACACAAGTTATAATTTTCCAAAAATTTGGGTCGTTTCTTTTGCCCCTGAGTGTAGATTTCCAACACGATCATGCAGTTCTGTCATGACAGTCCCACTTAGAATACCTGTGGTATTCACATTACCAGCAATTACCCGAGCACTTCACAATACTGAGACACCAAATGTACCATGAAGTATAGAACTTAACTTTACAAAATAAAGCAGGTCAAAGAAGTTAATTCAAGCGTGGCGTTCAGAATGTCAGCGGTATGAAATCTATCTTAACATTCTAACAAGCGCCTGCGACGTGTTTTAGTATCATCCTGGCTTATCAATATCCGTTTACCTTTGGTATACCCAGATATCTGTGTGCGACAAGGACACCACTTGGGAGCCTTTCTATTATAGCGTGGGAAGGCGCCCCGTAACACAAATACCCCTTACATAAATACCATTATAAAAGCTTAGCTTAACATCAATTCTAGAACATGCTTTATATATGATAAGGCGCATATAGAAAATATTTACTCTAGATGATTGATCCATGTATCACATTTCGTGCAGGATAAATACATTATGGAGCACGCTATTACAGTGCTATTTGCACATCACCCAGCGATTCATATTACCATACCTGAACTTCCTTTGTTTACGAAACGGTCGATATACATTTCAGAGATATTTAACAAAGGCTAGAGGTCTAAATATAAAAGTACAAAGTTTTCTCTGCCTGGATGCATGTAGGTTGTTTAAAGGGACTAGGGGAGAAGGTTGACTGCCAATAGGCCGGTATTGCTATTGATGCTCGTGATTAGGTTCACGGCGATTTGTATACCATTATGCTTGGGAAGTACAGTACCACTGCAAAACACGATTAACAATGTTCTCTAGCACCCTACCAGTGAACACAGCCAAGCGTTAACCCTTTCCCCTCTGATGAACACAACCGCGTGTTAACCCTTTCTCCTCTGATGACCATGGCCATGTGTGAACCCTTTCCACACCGACGAACACAATCACGTGGTAATCCTTTCCACCCCGAAGAATACAGCCTTGTGATAACCCTTTCCCTTCTGATGAACACAGCCATGGGATAACCCTTTCCCCTCTGATGAACACAACCGTGACTGTGTTAACCCTTTCCCCTCCGAGGAGATAGCCATGTGTGAACCCTTCCCTTTTGATGAACAGTCATGCATTAACCCTTCTCTTCTGATAAGCACAGCCATGAGTTAACCCTTTCCCCTCTGATGAACACAGCCATGAGTCAACCCATTCCTTTCTGACGAATACAGCCGCGTGTTAACCCCGTTCCTCTGATGAACACAGCCATGAGTCAACCCATTCCCTTCTGAGGAATGCAGCCGCGTGTTAACCCTTTCCCCTCTGATGAACACAGCCATGAGTTTACCCATCCCCTTCTGATGAACACAGCCGCGTGTTAACCCTTTCCCCTCTGATGAACACAGCCATGAGTTAACCCATCCCCTTCTAATGAACACAGCCGCGCGTTAACCCATCCCCTTCTGATGAACACAGCCGCGTGTTAACCCTTTCCCTTCTGATGAACACAGCCACGTGTTAACCAATTCCCTTCTGATGAACACAGCCATGAGTTAACCCATTCTGTACATACACCATTTAGGACACATGGGATATTGTGAATGTAATAATGTGTATATGATACGTGATATTGATGTAAGACAGCATATATGACTCACGGGGGTACTGTTATTTGCCAGTATATATAACACTCGAAATACTGCATGTGAATGCAATGATGTCTAATCATGTTATACAACATACATGTTCACGCAATTTAGCAAATGTGACATCTAATGACACATAAGGATACCGTTGGTGTCATACAGCATAGATGACATGTAAGGATACCGTTGGTGTCATACAGCATAGATGACATGTAAGGATACCGTTGGTGTCATACCGCATAGATGACATGTAAGGATACCGTTGGTGTCATACAGCATAGATGACATGTAAGGATACCGTTGGTGTCATACAGCATAGATAACATATAAGGATACCGTTGGTGTCATACAGCATAGATGACACATAAGAATACCGTTGGTGTCATACAGCATAGATGACATGTAAGAATACCGTTGGTGTCATACATCATAGATGACATATAAGGATACCGTGGTGTCATACAGCATAGATGACATGTAAGGATACCGTTGGTGTCATACAGTATAGATGACATGTAAGGATACCGTTGGTGTCATACAGCATAGATGACATGTAGTGATACCGTTGTCGTCATACAGCATGTATGACACATAAGGATACCGTTGGTGTCATACAGCATAGATGACACATAAGGATACCGTTGGTGTCATACAGCATAGATGACATGTAAGGATACCGTTGGTGTCATACAGCATAGATGACATGTAAGGATACCGTTGGTGTCATACAGCATAGATGACATGTGAGGATACCGTTGGTGTCATACATCATAGATGACATATAAGGATACCGTTGGTGTCATACAGCATAGATGACATGTAAGAATACCGTTGGTATCATACGGCATAGATGACATGTAAGAATACCGTTGGTGTCATACATCATAGATGACATGTAAGGATACCGTGGTGTCATACAGCATAGATGACATGTAAGGATACCGTGGTGTCATACATCATAGATGACATGTAAGGATACCGTTGGTGTCATACAGCATAGATGACATGTAAGGATACCGTTGGTGTCATACAACATAGATGACATGTAAGGATACCGTTGGTGTCATACATCATAGATGACATATAAGGATACCGTTGGTGTCATACAGCATAGATGACATGTAAGGATACCGTTGGTGTCATACAGCATAGATGACATGTAAGGATACCGTTGGTGTCATACATCATAGATGACATGTAAGGATACCGTTGGTGTCATACAGCATGTATGACACATAAGGATACCGTTGGTGTCATACATCATAGATGACATGTAAGGATACCGTTGGTGTCATACAGCATAGATGACATGTAAGGATACCGTTGGTGTCATACAGCATGTATGACACATAAGGATACCGTTGGTGTCATACAGCATAGATGACATGTAAGGATACCGTTGGTGTCATACATCATAGATGACATGTAAGGATACCGTTGGTGTCATACAGCATAGATGACATGTCAGGATACCGTTGATGTCATACAGCATGTATGACACATAAGGATACCGTTGGTGTCATACAGCATAGATGACATGTAAGGATACCGTTGGTGTCATACAGCATAGAAGACATGTAAGGATACCGTTGGTGTCATACAGCATAGATGACATGTAAGGATACCGTTGGTGTCATACAGCATATATGACATACAGGGATACCGTTGGTACAATACATCATATATGACACGCAGGGATACCGTTGATACAATGCACCATATATGACACGCAGGGATACCGTTCATACAATGCATCATATATGACACGCAGGAATACCGTTGATACAATACATCATATATGACATACAGGGATACTGTTGATACAATACATCATATATTAATGCATCATAAATCAGAATATATGAATGACACATGGGGACACCGTGAGTGCAACACGGCATATATAACACACATAACACATTCAGGCATTGTGGATGTAGCACAGCATACATGACTCGCGGTGATGTTGTTTATGTAATACAGCCAGCACTTATGACATATGACATACACTTGATACTAGACAGACTATGTAACACATCAGTTGATGTAATACATGATACATGGATGACACTTTGTGTGTTATAGTACTTATACAGAATATATGATACATGGAAACATTTTATGCTTAACTTTACAGTTCACTGTTTCTATATTCTAGGCTGGTCAATGTCACCCTGAAAGATGAACACAGTACACACTTCAGCCAGGTGGTTGGTAGTGACGGTGTTTTTGATCAACGCTACTGTCATCACGGCATGGACGACGACGACTAATTCCGGGTCTGTGTATGATTCCATTAACACGACCCCCGAACCATTATGCAGAAGCGACACCTGTCTGAACGGTGGCACTTGCCGGGAACTTGAGGACTGGGAGTGTAGCAATGATCTGGATGTAGAACACACTGTTTGTTTGTGCACACCGACCTTCACGGGTATGTGATTTTATAAACTGTAATGATGTTTGGAATATCTTGTATTAAATTACGCGATGGGTGGATTAATGACGCGTATTACGTGAGATGATTGGATCGAATGCGCAGGCATGACTGATGTAAAAAACAGTTGGATTCGAGGAGAGAAAGGAGCAGTAAGTAGTTATAGTAGCAGGAGAGAAAGGAACAGTATTCAGTTGTAGTGTCAGGAGAGAAAGGAGCAGTAATCAGTTGTAGTGTCAGGAGGGAAAAGAGCAGTATTCGGTTGTAGTGGCAGGAGAGAAAGGAACACTAATCAGTTGTAGTGTCAGGAGAGAAAGGAGCAGTAATCGGTTGTAGTGGCAGGAGAGAAAGGAGCAGTAATCAGTTGTAGTGTCAGGAGGGAAAAGAGCAGTAATCGGTTGTAGTGGCAGGAGAGAAAGGAGCAGTAATCAGTTGTAGTGTCAGGAGAGAAAGGAGCAGTAATCGGTTGTAGTGGCAGGAGAGAAAGGAACAGTAATCAGTTGTAGTGTCAGGAGAGAAAGGAGCAGTAATCAGTTGTAGTGTCAGGAGAGAAAAGAGCAGTAATCGGTTGTAGTGGCAGGAGAGAAAGGAGCAGTAATCAGTTGTAGTGGCAGGAGAGAAAAGAGCAGTAATCGGTTGTAGTGGCAGGAGAGAAAGGAGCAGTAATCAGTTGTAGTGTCAGGAGAGAAAGGAGCAGTAATCGGTTGTAGTGGCAGGAGAGAAAGGAACAATAATCAGTTGTAGTGTCAGGAGAGAAAGGAGCAGTAATCAGTTGTAGTGTCAGGAGAGAAAAGAGCAGTAATCGGTTGTAGTGGCAGGAGAGAAAGGAGCAGTAATCAATTGTAGTGTCAGGAGAGAAAAGAGCAGTAATCGGTTGTAGTGGCAGGAGAGAAAGGAGCAGTAATCAGTTGTAGTGTCAGGAGAGAAAAGAGCAGTAATCGGTTGTAGTGGCAGGAGAGAAAGGAGCAGTAATCAGTTGTAGTGTCAGGAGAGAAAGGAGCAGTAATCGGTTGTAGTGGCAGGAGAGAAAGGAGCAGTAATCAGTTGTAGTGTCAGGAGATTAAGGAACAGTAGTCAGTTGTAGTGACAGGAGAGAAAGGAGCAGTAATCGGTTGCAGTGGCAGGAGATTAAGGAACAGTAGTCAGTTGTAGTGGCAGGAGAGAAAGGAGCAGTAATCGGTTGTAGTGGCAGGAGAGAAAGGAGCAGTAATCAGTTGTAGTGTCAGGAGATTAAGGAACAGTAGTCAGTTGTAGTGGCAGGAGAGAAATGAACAGTAGTCAGTTGCAGTGGCAGGAGAGAAAGGAACAGTAATTAGCTGCAGTGGCAGGAGAAAAAGGAGCAGTAATCGGTTGTAGTGACAGGAGAGAAAGGAACAGTAATTAGTTATAATGGCAGGAGGGAAAAGAGCAGTATTCTGTTATAGTGGCAGGAGAGAAAGGAACAGTGTTCAGTTATAGTGGCAGGAGAGAAAGGAGCAGAAATCTATTGAAGGGACAGGAGAGAAAGGATTAGAAATCAATTGAAGGGACAGGAGAGAAAGGAACAGTAATTAGTTGTAGTGGCAGGAGAGAAAGGAGCAGAATTAGTTGTAGTTGCAGGAGAGAAAGGAGCAGTAATCAGTTGTAGTGTCAGGAGAGAAAAGAGCAGTAATCGGTTGTAGTGGCAGGAGAGAAAGGAGCAGAATTAGTTGTACTTGCAGGAGAGAAAGGAGCAGTAATTAGTTGTAGTGGCAGGAGAGAAAGGAGCAGTAATCATTTGTAGTGGCAGAAGAGAAAGGAGCAGTAATCAGTTGTAGTGGCAGGAGAGAAAGGAGCAGTAATCATTTGTAGTGGCAGGAGAGAAAGGAGCAGTAATTAGTTGTAGTGGCATGAGAGAAAGGAGCAGTAATCGGTTGTAGTGGCAGGAGAGAAAGGAGCAGTAATTAGTTGTAGTGGCAGGAGAGAAAGGAGGAGTAATTAGTTGTAGTGGCAGGAGAGAAAGGAGGAGTAATTAGTTGTAGTGGCAGAAGAGAAAGGAGCAGTAATATTAGTTGTAGTGGCAGGAGAGAAAGGAGCAGTAATATTAGTTGTTGTGGCAGGAGAGATTGGAGCAGTATTCAGTTATAGTGGCAGGAGAGAAAGGATTAGAAATCAATTGAAGGGACAGGAGAGAAAGGAACAGTAATTAGTTGTAGTGGCAGGAGAGAAAGGAGCAGAATTAGTTGTAGTTGCAGGAGAGAAAGGAGCAGTAATTAGTTGTAGTGGCATGAGGAAATGGAGCAGTAATTAGTTGTAGTGGCAGGAGAGAAAGGAGCAGTAATTAGTTGTAGTGGCAGGGGAGAAAGGAACAGTAATTAGTTGTAGTGGTAGGTGAGAAAGGAGCAGTGTTCAGTTTTAATGGCAGGAGAGAAAGGAGCAGAAATCAATTGAAGGGACAGGAGAGAAAGGATTAGAAATCAACTGAAGGGACAGGAGAGAAAGGAGCAGTAATCAGTTGTAGTGGCAGGTGAGAAAGGGGCAGTAATATTAGTTGTAGTGGCAGGAGAGAAAGGAGCAGAAATCAATTGAAGGGACAGGAGAGAAAGGAACAGTAATTAGTTGTAGTGGCAGGAGAGAAAGGAGCAGTAATTAGCTGTAGTGACATGAGGAAATGGAGCAGTAATTAGTTATAGTGGCAGGAGAGAAAGGAGCAGTAGTCAATTGAAGGGGCAACAAATTTATGTGTTTGTTTGTGTTTGTTTGTATGTGTGTGTATGTGCGTGCGTGCGTGCGTGCGTGCGTGCTTGCGTGCGTGTGTGTGTGTATGTGTGTGTGAATCTCAACACCTGATCAGTATGTCAATACCTAATTCACCTACAGGAACTCGGTGTGAATACAGCATCAAGTGTGGAGGGCAGACCTGTCGACTCAACGAGCACTGCGTGAACGACAAGTGTGTTAGCCTCACAGACAGCGCAGGTATTGAGACAAACATCTGTAAACTGTTCTTATATATCTCAGATTTAAATTCCAATCTCAGTTTAAATTATGTCAATGTATACATTCGATCACCATATTGATCCCCGTTCAAACGGGAACGTTGAAGTGGTTGAATTTAGTAACAGTGTTGGTCCCAGTAGCTCCAGATGCATTAGTGAAAACATCAAGTCTTCAGTTTCTTCGGACCAGTAAAACAACATGGTGGCTTACTACTTCAACCTAATTCCGTTTGATTTGTTAGGTTTATGTTTAGTTCCTAGGTTTGTGTTTAGTTCCGCACTCAGCAATGTTCCAGTTATATTAGGTCGGTCTGACAATAATAGAGTCTGGACCAGGCGATCCAGTGACTGATGCCTTGACCACAGATCTACGCAACAGGGATACAATGATATGCATCAAATCGGTCAGTCTGATCTCCAATTCCGCTAGCTGCTTGCCTGTAGCAATTACGACAACAGTTATGACCGATAGCGTACTCCGACGTCTTGGTTCTATGTTACCATAGCAACCCCGTTTTACCTGCTTCAGGTTTCATGCGGGGATGGTAGAAACAATGTGTAAAATATACATCACTACTGATTATGATTAAAAACATTGAATAACTTAACCAAGAAATTTTGATATTTTTTACAGAGTCCAAAGCCCCACAGTGTAAACCCGGAGTCCACCCCCTGACTTACCAGTTGGACATGCTAGACAGGAAGAAGCCCATAGTGTGTCTAGACATGTACTACACCAACGCGAGTTCCTACTGTCATGACAAAGACGACTCCATTGAGTTCCAGATCGTTCAAGAAGAGGTGGAGAATTTGTTTTGTCTCAACCTCGACTATCGCCTTTGGCAAACGTGTCTGCACGTTAATGCAACATTCAACAAGTACAATTTTCCAGACAAACCAGTTTCAAAGGTAAGATACACGAGTAATTTTAAATTGAATAATCATTGTGTACTTTGTAATTCCTGCATTCAGATTAGCTGAACTGGCAGCGTGCTATTAAGCTACGACAGTCAATGAGCACTACTTTCACCACTGCGGACTGTCAGGGAATCCCAGTTCCCGTTGAGGGCATTCCCTTTCTGTTTACCCGTTATTAGCAGGGTTCTTGGCGACAATGGACCCACGACGATTCGGGTTACAATTGATCTTCAGTAACCCGTGCTTGTCTTAAGAGGCGAGCAACGGGATCGGGTGGTCAGGCTCGCTGACCTGGTTGACACATGTCATCGCACCCCAATTGTGTAGATTGATGCTCATGCTGTTGATCGAAAAAACAGATTCGATTATTTACAGATTGTAAATAAGTTAGTCTGGACCAGACAATCCAGTAATCAACAGCATGAGCATCGAGCAATTTATTTGGGTCCATTGTCGCCAAGAACCCTGTGAATGATGATACAGGTAACAGAAAGGATCTACCCCGGTTCTTCACGGGTTCATAGTCCTCTGAACACAACCCTTAACGTAATATATATTGCAGCAGGAGACGTACATTATCACACAGATCTAAAGAAGCCGTCAACATTATACATGTACCAAATATTGTGTTGTTTGTTTTCGTTGTCTCTCAATTGTAGTGAAGTCTGTTGTTCCATTTCAGGTTACATTGATAGCCAAGGAGAACGACATGCACCCAAGAACTGACACGATAGTGTTCAGCGTCACATTCAACACCGCCCCTAAAGTAGAGATGACGTCAAAGACGTACGTTGTCAACGTCGCTACACAGGGCCCTCAGGTTCAAGTCAACATCTCCAAGGTGTTCGGCGTTTCAGATAACGACACTGTGACGTACGACATCAGAGGTAATATTTGATTACCACTGAGTTTTGAGTGGTATACGGGTGGTACAAGCTGAATTGACCGGTGCTATCAGAGACCGAAGATTGATCATGAAGTCTCCACACAAACGTTTAGCTTGAAAAATCCCTTTGATATATGTTGGGTGAAACAGTTTGTGGAAAACACTATGGCATAAAATATTGCTGCAAGCGGGGTAGGAATGGAATTGTGTTCATAGTGATCACAAGAGACACCCATTCGTATGTACAATGAGCGGTAATGGATTTGTACGTTACCTCTGCCATCGGGACACAAATCCGTTCAAACTCAGATTATACACCAACCGTACGATAGTTGAGGCCTAAGATCGTTTTATGAACATACTCCAGAATATTGTATAGACTACACCGTGTTGCAGTTTTACTTTTCGTTTCTTTTCTAGTCCCTCATCCTCAAGTTGGTATCGTCAGGTACACAGGACAACTAAAGGTTAACTTTATCGATGGGAACGAGAAGGACATATCAGTAGATATTGAGGTATTGCATGACTAAACGTCACTTTTATCTATTTCTGTAAATACATTGTTACTCGTCTTCCAACTTGAAACATTTTATCCAAGAATTGTTTACGCAAACGAATGCAGTGTAAAACCAACAGACAGCAATTGTACAATTGTGTTTTGAAATTAAACAGGTTTACAAATCAATTCACATTACAGCAAAAATATACAGTGTAAGTAGACAGTAGAGAGGCATTATGGAATGCAGTACAATTACAAACACAATATGAAACAAAATAAACAATCAACCATATAGTTGTAGCAGTAGTAGTGGTAGCAGCAGCAGTAGTAGTGGTAGCAGCAGCAGTAGTAGTGGTAGCAGCAGCAGCAGCAGCAACAACAACAGCGGCAGTAGTATAGTAATAGTAGTAGTAGTGACGTTATTACGAACAATATTCACTCAACAACAACAGTGGTCAAGCTTCCAAAATAACCCAAGATTGATAACCAGGGTGAAATATTACCTTCACACAATGTCTAGTCGTGAGGTAATGTGAGATGATAGAGGCATGCGCTCCACCCCTTATATAATCTGAGGAACCTACCAGAAGGTAAGCAGTTCTATAATATGATATATATACTGTTTTATGACTCCATATGCATCTGAATAATGGACACACGGTGACTTGTTGACCTCAACTGAATCTGGAGTGAGTGAGTTTTACGCCGCTTTTAGCAATATTCCAGCAGTATCGCGGAGGGTGACACCAGGAATGTGCTTCACACACTGTACCCATGTGAGGAATCGAACCCGGGTCTTCGGCGTAACGAGCGAACGTTTTAAACACTAGGCTACCCAACCGTCCCTTGAATCTTGAAAACAGTACCAAAACCATTCAAACATTTAACAATAAATGACGCTGCCATATATCAATATACATGCACATTGTTGCCGCATACCTTCTCAATGATCATTACGCAATATTGAAATCTTTCATTTTTTTCATTTCTGATATTTCATGTCCATGACGTGTCTTACTGAACTATTCGGCAATATATCCAGTAAACACACTGCAGTACGTGTACATGATCAGACTGTACAGGTTTAAACATTTGTTCTTGTAGCTGTACAGGTGAAAACATTTGTTCTTGTAGCTGTACGGGGGAAAACATTTGTTCTTGTAGCTGTACGGGGGAAACCAGTTTTTTCATTTAGCTGTACAGGTGAAAACGTTTGTTCATTAAGCTGTACAGGTGAAAACGTTTGTTCATGTAGGTTGAACAGATAACGATTCTGTCATATTTCCATTCTGGTTTATTCTGCAGATCAAAGATACTGGTATTCCGAAATTGACAACTGTGGTGACAGTCAAAATAGAATTTCTAATCTTGAGCTGTGACATGAGAGAACATATTTACGTCAATTATCAACACATTGGAAACCCCGTCGGTAAACTAAACTGTCGGATAAGCAAAGGATATGACATGTCGGATCTCTACATCTTCTTCGTTACGGATGAAGGTAATTAAGATCTTATTTACGAAAAACACACACTGGTTGTAGTTGTTGAGCCTTTTTCTACTGTCTTCAGGCAATGTTTAAATGTCCGTTGACATGCTTCTACCTTCGAATCAGTGTTGTCTAAAGAAAGATTTATATAATTTCTTGGAAATTTGTTTTGATTTCGATAGAACAGAATCTAATTGATGTAAACACTAACACATCTATATTACCTGAAGCAGTTTACGTTTTATAAAGTTATTCGAGATTTCATCACAATTATAGCAAGCTGTCTGTCCATGGTTTCTAAACAGCAATGATTACCATCCATGACCACCTAATACTGTATATTCACACATGGTAATATAATTAAAACTTATGTCAAACCAGACTTGATGCTGAAGCTTCTGCCTGATGGAATCCTGAAGGTCGTCAAAGGAGAATACGGAGAAAGAAATGTATCGATGTCAGTCAATTTGAAAGGAGACTCGGGCGAGATCAGCGTCACCGTTTCCTTTAGTATAACCATTGGTAAACCGGTTTATTTAATTAAGTAATATTGTTTATAGTGATCCATCACTGTGTTTATAAGTTTACACATGAAACTGATCTCGCTGTTTCATTATACCATTTACCATGTTACCAGAATTAGTTCATATTAAAAATATATACTTTATTAAATTATTATAAGACTTCTACATTTATGAGACAAGTTTCCCAAGTGGGGTTAAATCAGATAGTGGTACTGTTAATTAATGCAAATAGTTGTATTATTCACTGTGTTATTATGTTATATGTATGTCAAAACACTAATCATGTAAGGCATTTTCATGTAAGAAAGTTGTTATCTTTCATCTTCGACATTGCAAGACCTTTCAGTGAAAAATAACTTTTGTAATTATGTATTTAGATGTTTTGATCTCAGGTGTACTAGATACACTTCTGCTTCAATATGAATGTGTCCGACATAACATGCATTGTTACTGTTTGAGGAGGTGGGGTAGCCTAGTGGTTAAAGCGTTCGCTCGTCACGCCGAAGACCCTGCTTCGATTCCCCACATGGGTACAGCATGTGAAGCCCATATCTGGTGTCCCAAGCCGTGATATTGATGGAATGTTTTTAAAGACGGTCCAAAACTAAACTGACTCACTCACTTGTCTGTGTTCCCTACAGCTGACATTTGGACAGGATCTTACGAGCTCCTGAACAGGAGGTGGGAACAGGTCTACGCCGATCAGAGATATTCCCAGTTCATGTTACTGCAATCAGACGTCACTAACCAGGCACGTAACGTATCACCATCGACGTTGATGTATTTCAACTGGAATATTTAAATAACAGCGACCAAACCCTTCCCATACACATAAGAAATCTCCGAAAACAGAGTCCATTGTACGATTCCCACTGTATCATGAGCAAGTGTTTATCATCAAATAGTGATGATAGTAGGTGTTCGAGAAAGGGTGTGCTCATCCACGTCTGGTATCCTCCATTAATACATGCAAAAGCTGGTCAATTGCTTACCTGAACAAAAAAGACAATTAAAAACCCATCAACATGTGAACATAATGTACAAGTCAAAATAAACAAAATAAAAGCCAGATACTTTTACGGATCACAACCTCTTTATACTATTATGATGCAATGTTTCAGTGTAGATCCTTTTACCGTTGACAAGCAAGAGTGACGCGACAACGGCATAAGAATCTATCTTATACCAAAACGTCTCATCAATATAGAATAAAGAAGATGCCACGCATAAAAAGTATGTGGCCTTTAATATCACTCTCCAACTTCTAAAATGCCAAAGGAACAGATGAAAGAAGGGTATTGCATCGGTCATTACTTTGGTGTCCGCAACGTATCCACCACAAATCATTTCGAAATCTTAAAGGTTGCAGACATTATCACAATTCCGATGAGAGGTCGTGTAGCGCCCCCAGAGAGCTCTTTAACTGCAACCGGAATTTAGAAGCTAAAAACCACACACACACACACACACACGCGCGCGCACGGACGCACGCACGCATGCACACACACACATGCATATTTTAACATTCATGAACTAACGCGGAAGTATATAGCTATTAGAGAACAGATTTAAGTAATCAACAAGTGATAAGTTATGGAGAAACCTGTAACAAACGTTAACATTTGTACTATATAAACTCATGTTCATCTTCTACAGATGCAGCAAATCTTCAGGACGCAAAACGTGGGCGTCACGGTCAACGTCGAGATGTTCAGGTGACGTCACAGTGCCAAAGAACAACACTAGCAAAACATTGTCTTGAAATACCGTAGATTTGAATACATTATTAACTTCAGTTTCTGATGTGGGAATGCATCCATTCCTCGTGCCAGGCTCCTCAGATCATGGGTTCTAAATCTTGACATGCCCCCATTGGTATTTCAGAAACATTCCCTTGTGAAGGTGTAAAACATCTTCCGTCATCGCCAATTTAAGATGTTCTCAAAAAGTAGGCTGTTGAGATGAAATTGTTGCATTATGTTCTAAGCGGCTATAAAACGAAGCCGTGACAACAAGTAACCTTTTCTTTTCAAGAGCAACGCTGATTTGAACACGTAACCCACGATTCCCAAACGTTTTTATGACGAGGAATCAATTGTGCTTTTCCTTTTTGTAATGAAACGCAATCCAACATATGTTTGTATTAATGTGATGTCATGGAGAATCCTTCGCATCGTTTTTATATCTATTTTGACAGCAAGAGTAGTAGCAACTATGTGAACGTTCACTTCATCCTCATCTTTCCAAATGGAGACAATTCTGCGAGTGCAGTTACGGAACTGAGAGGCTCCATTTACAATGGATCTGTAGGGAGCATGAGAGTGAACGAGACAAGCCTCATCATTAGCAATCGAGGTGAGAATATTATTCCTCTTCGTACGAATCTGATAGTCCATACATTCGCCTATTCCTTTTGGGAAACATGATCACAGAAAAGAAATATTCCTCAATAAAAATCTTTGATGCCACCATGCATAGTTTTAAACCGTGAAAACTCCATGACTCCGTTTCAATTTCCTTGAAAGCATTTCATCTGAAAGTCATTCTACATGCACAGGGCCATTTGTGTAATGACCTGGACCTTCTCATCTCAGACCCCCAAGTCTAAATTATCTTCTTTACATGGGTGAACTTGAAAGTCTTGTCAAGGGATCATTCACACTGAAAAATGCCTTAAATTGTCGGGTCATTGTCCAACATAACTTGAGTGACCTAAGGGGCCCGGGAAATGCAGGCAAGGTGCAAGAGTGATCAGTCAAATTACTATGAGAGGAGCTATTGACCATCTCAGTGAAGTTTTCTTCTTTGATGGGCATTTTAGAAGTTGAGTTGATGAAGAATAATGACAATTATTATGGAAATACAACTTCTTTTATTCTGTGGAGGCGACGTTTCGACATAGGTTCTAATGTCGTTGTCAAGCAAGTGATACATGAGTAACAAATTGAGAGAATATATACAGGAGTTGTTGTTACAGTAGATAGGGAATGAGTTGTTTATACAATAGATGAGGTTGATGTACAACGTTTGTATGAGAGCTTGAGTAAATTGATAGGAAGCCAGTAGGAAGGCATACAAGGACTGAATTAGAGCTTATACATCTGATAGGAAGCCAGGTGGATGTTATACAATGGATGGGGTTGATGTACATATTTGGAATGAAACAGGTAATGTACACAAGAAATAATATTGATTACTTTATCAAGTGATGGTAGGCATTGGGAATGTAGTATCCTTCATCTCTGATGAGGGCGGGTCCTATCTTCTTGTCGTGTACTGCTTCCAAAAGTTTACGAATTTTGTAGTCTGACCGGTTCTTTACTATGGTTTTGGTCTTGTCCCATTTGATAGTGTGGTTAGGATGGGCTTTGATGTGGTCGGCAATGGCTGATTTAGAATAATTTTTCCTAACTGAAGCCTGGTGTTCCTTGATCCTGAGGGTGAGTGGCCTTGATGTTTCTCCAACATAGGAGTCACCGCAGTCACATTCTATGTGGTAAACCACACCTGAGGGGTCTTGCTTCTGGGACGACCCTGTGGCCTGCAAGAGGTTCTGGATGCTGTTGCCTCATTGGAAGGTGACGTCTATGTCAGCGTGCTGCTTCAAGAGTAGTCGGATGTGATGGCTAGTTGATCCTATGTATGGGAGACTGATGGTGAAGGGGGGGCTGTTGTCGGGGCGGTTTGGTTGTTGTATGTCATCCCTACTGGCTTCCTATCAATTTACTCAATCTCTCATACAAACGTTGTACATCAACCTCATCTATTGTATAAACAACTCATTCCCTATCTATTGTAACAACAACTCCTGTATATGTTCTCTCAATTTGTTACTGATGTATCACTTGCTTGACAACGACATTAGAGTCTATGTCGAAACGTCGCCTCCACAGAATAAAAGAAGTTGAATATCCATAATAATTGTCATTATTCTTCATCTCAATGAAGGTCAGGCATATCCGTACTTTGGGATTAAGGTCTGAAACAATCTAGGAAGATAAAAATAACAAACTTCAGGCAAAATACAATTGTAGACTTAAGGAAATCTGGAGCTCACAGCGGAACGTAAAAGCTAGAGGCTGATGATCAGCTAAGCCGACCTTACTGTGCCAAGATCATCCGAACCATCTTACTGCCTTCATCTATCTATATCCGTAAAACACAAAACGTAGATTATGCAATTAATAATGAGACTGCCCAACTTACCATTCACGGTACGACGCAGAATGTAGAAAATGTAAACATTCAAAATTCTTTTTGTACAGCCTCAGGCGTATCAAAACCAGAATCGTTTAACTTTTTCTTTTAGGTCTTGTCATCTGTACAATATTATTCATAATAGTTATGAATCGCCATGCCAAGGTCGTGAACTAGTTTGGGCACAAACCTTTTAAAGACCAGTGGCCACTGCAGAACAGCTTCTCTTTGTCGTGGGCCAGGACATGATTGACACCGTTCGGAGAGTATTTGATCCATCTCAATCATGTGTTTCGTTTCAGTTGGCTCCACCCAGGTATCAAAGATCGAGTATTCCTCACCGGACGCCTCAAACACACCGGGATTCACCAAGGGCAACACCGAGATACAACTGACGTGCACTGGTACCTTTGTCCAACCTGTTGGTGACGTGACAATGGAGTGGCGGATGACGTCCAGGAATGCACTCGTTGTACCCTTGTCCAACTCTCGACTACAGACAAACCTCACGAGTCCTTATGAAGGGCATTACGTCGGAACACTCACCGCTGCTAACATCTTGTTCAAAGATTCAGGTGCTTGTTCGATCACGTGGATCCATTTTACACTCATGTGGTTAGAACTAATGCTGTCTTTGCTTACAGCGCTATTAAAATAAGATAAAGTGCACGCAGTTGGACAATTTGATTTTGTGGACAGGATCATTTATCGATCATTTCCGATCCCTGCTTGTAAATCGGAATTTGGAAATATTTATATAATTCTAGAGGTATTGTTCAAGGCCATACTGTTTTTACGTCGGAGTGAGTAAGTACTGTATGTGGGAACAAGAACAATGCCTATTTGAGAGCATTCATTGGTGATTATTTGGGTTTCTCACCCATGAAGATCAGGGTCAGAATTGGTCTTCAGTAACCCATGCGTGTCGTAAGAGGAGACTAACAGGATCAGGTGACAGACTCACTGACCTGATTGACACATGTCATCGTATCACAGTTGCGTAGGTCGATGCTCATGCTGTTGATAACTGGATTGTCTGGTGCAGACTCGATTATTTACAGACCGCTGCTATACAGCTGGAATATTGCTGAGTGCGTCAATAACAAACACAATATTTCAGTTTCAGCAGCAGGGTTGGTTTAGGTACCTCAACTCTGTGCTAGAAAGCTGTCCAGAATAAATAGATTTACATAAATCATCTACATATGAATAAATGTAATTTGTAAAATGCTCTAGTTACTGCAATCCAGTGGCCTCTTGACAGCTTTATGTTCGTGTATATTCATTTTCCAGGAGATTTTCAGTGCAGTCTCAGGGATGAGGGTGGGCTGATATCAAGTCAGAAGATGAACGTACTCGTTATACCCCGTCCAGTAGTAACTCTCCTGCCTCTGAAGAGTGTCGTCATAAGATCTGGTGAAGATATCACAATCAGCTGCAACTTGACACGGCCGTCGGTCTTTGAGTCGACCACGACCTTCCACTGGTACCAGAATGGACAAAAGACAGTGGGAAAAAAGTAAGTACTCTCAGTTATTACATGAATGTGTTGCTTTTTGTTATGTTTGCGTTTACGTCTGTGTGTGTGTGTGTTTGCGTGCGTGCGTGTTTGTGTATGTGTGTGTTTGCCATTGCGCGTGCGTGCGTACGTGTGTGTGTACCCTAATTATTTCACGTTTTTATGAAATTAATACCGAAACGAATTCAGGTGTAAAATCCGTGGGATTCCGATTACACGTTCCGGCTGCCGTTGAACAAAGCAACCTTAGCGTTAAGACCACCTTAAGTTTATGTTAAGATAAGAGAGTTACGGTCACCTAAAAGCTAAGATTGCTGTGTACAACGGCACCCTTGAATCCATATATGATCAACACTTTATCAAACAGCAGTGGTGACGAAGTAGTGCCATATCATGGTTGACTGACAAACGGCAGTCTTCATACTGAAAGATTTTATCTGTGTGTACATTAGAGGTATATCCACACAGAGCTGGAGCCTGTGTATCAGTCTCGAGTTACTTGCATCAGTTAAAGACATATGTCAGCAAGGAACTGATACAGGGCAATACTAGTTGAGGACTGAATACAAACAGTTTCAAGATTCCTGACTTGCTATTTTATATCAGATAAGTACATGTTAACATTGCGGACTGGGGGCCCGATTCACAAACCGTTCGTAGCTCTATGCCATTCGTAGGCTATGATAAAGTATAGAGTTACGATAGGCAGGGCTCCAGATAATGTTTCATGATCGGGAGTACGTACTCCTTATTTATTCAATATACGAGTACTGGAAAACCTTAAGAGTACATTTACAGTACTGAATGGAAATTAATGGCGTATCAGTAATCTTGTGTTTCGTGTCATATATGCACCACAACATTGCTACTCTTGTGTAAACAGGTCAATAAACAATAAAACGATACTTTTTCAGATAAATACGTCTGTAAATGATTCTAAGACCGTACACCATTGCTGTGGTGCGTATCTGCTACGCTTTCTAAATTATTTCCTACCGTATCTTGCATATTTTTTTTCCGTACATACGCCGATACGGCCCTTATCTGGAGCCCTGGATAGGTTGTAACGTTTGTGGATCGGGAACCAGGTCGTCGGTATTTATGTTCGAGAGGGATGTTTATCAGGTTCCCGGCTTAAAGTCTCTGGCAGTGGATTTCTGAACGCAACTTACTTCTGTGAGGGTGAAAATGATGTCGGTTTGGGGGAGAGAAGTCAATCTACAACCGTGACCGTTATTGGAGGTGAGTCGGATATAGATAGACGTTGGATAAACTTAATCAAGCGCTATATATTAATTGAACGGGGGTATTTTGTTCGTATGTTTGTTGTCTAACGCATCACTCAGCAATATTCCAGCAATATGGCAGCAATATGTAAATAATCGAGTCTGGACCAGACAATCTAGGAATCAACATCAGAAGCATCAACCTACGCAGTTGGAATACGATGACGAGGGTCTTTAACATTACAATTATTTTCATATAACGTCGAAGTCATTCTTGGGCATATTCACTATGATATTGCTGAATATTGGTACAAACCAACACCTCTCAGATGCGGGTACACATGAACAGTGAGGTGAGTGGATAGATTAAGTAATGCAAAGGCACCGAGATGTAGTATTGTTCACCTATGTGCAATTTACTGTTACCCAGCTGAGGTCCTCCGATGTGACAAGGAAGGAACCTGGCATGGGACGCGGGCTGGTTCTACTGCGGAATATCCTTGCCCTACGGGTGGCACAGGTGATGTAATATTGTGTACAAATCAGCCATCATTTCAGAATTATAAAATAAGAAACAATATCGACTTCAAACGATGAAGTGTGCGATAATGCCCATACGGACATGTATTACAAATTCCATGTTTATTTGTTTTTAACGCCCACTCAGCAATATACCAGGTATATGGCGACGGTCTGTAAGTATTCTAGTCTGGACCAGACAATCCAGTGATCAACCCATTCCACGTGTGTCCGTCGTGAAAATACAGCATAAGTATAAACAAAATGATATCAATGGATTTTGTAAGCATTACGTAAGGTTGTAAAATAAGGTTGTAAATTGAAACCTGACACTTTGCGTTTTCAGCGGTAATTACTCGCCACTGTGGTGAGGATGGCCAATGGTTGGACGAGGACAGTGGTCAGTGCGCCGTGCGACGCTTAGAACGGGTCATTGATGATGTGAGTTCAGTTCTCAAAAACAGATTTCTTAAAATTAAATCAAATCAAGGTCATGTATGGAGCAGAATGTAATCATCCCAACGTATTTACGTTTATAGCACGTTAGTTCACGTCGCAACGTGACGTCCATAGGCTCAGCAAAATAACGTCACGAACGGACGTAATACTATGACGATGCCATCATGTCGACGCCACACGATCATATGTAAAGCTTTCGTCTCGTCATGCCTGGGTTCAGTTCCCACATGGATACTATGCGAATCCAGTATTTCCGGTGTCCTTGTTAAAAGCAGCTCAAAACCAATCTCACATAATCTTGACTAAAAATTAAAATACTTTGTTTTCGCAAAGAAGAAACATATTGCTCATGACTGCTGCGAAGGAGAATCAAAACTTATATTCGACACGGATCAGTCCTTCTATTTAACGAATAATACCATGTACAAGTACCAGGGTTTTTATGTATTTGCATTGACATATGTTTTAATCATTATGAAACGGATTGCTGCTCCAGATTGAGTGGATTGAAGAGGGTCTGCGAGTCGCGAACATCTCCAGCGTTGCCAGAGCAATCTCGGAGAGTACACAGCCCAATGAACTGTCCAGCAAGTGGATCGTTCTATCACTGCAGGCTCTTGGTCGGCTGTTGAACCTTATCAAAGGCTGCATCGTCACTGACAGCAAAGAGGAGACAAAACAGTTCATAGAGGTCTACATCTTTTTTGTATTGAAAACAATTAAGACTAAAGACTTCTCGGTGACTGAAAGGCTATTTTGTGATGTACAGGCCAGCTATTGAATTTGGGTTCCAGTAGGAGGTTACAGTGTGCGACCTGACTAAATACATATCAGCGTACCCAGACAACCTTGATCGTTTATCATAGGTCTGATTAATGCTAATTACTAACAGGTGCTACTACTGTTATATATATTTGGTCACAAAGTAGCAATGGAGTGAAGCTTTTAAATAAAAGATAATATTGAATATCAACAGGCCTCCTTGATACAAAGGACAGATTTCTGACTGCGAAAGACATAAACGACATTCTTATATTGGTAAACTGTTCAAACGTGGATTAATATTGTGGTACGAACTATTCATAGAGACGTATGTATGCTTATCTACTTACTATTTCATAGATCTGAAATTTGTATATTCTTTCTTGCATGTGCTGTTCTTTTGACCACTGATGCATTTTACGTTCAGGGATTCCTGGCGAGCGTCAGTAATATTCTTGATTCACGGACCGTAGGCGAATGGAAGAAACTGAAGGTGGGTATTATTCTGGAGAGTCGTGTGTTTTCATGTTCAGTGTATTGCTTTGAGGTATGGCAAGGCTGTTTTTCGTATGGGCAACTGGAATAAGAAAAATTGCAAATTTCAAAATTACAGAAACGTTTTCTAAATGTCTTACCTCTTTCGTAGGACTGAATCGGCAGTATATGTTTTGTAGCTTGTAAATTCTGTGCTTTCATTATGTAATGAAAACATATAGTTAGGAGTAGTTGCAAGAAATAATTTGAGCAAAATATTGTATTTTGACCATGGTCCCCAAACGTTTCTATACTAGTAATAGCGTTCAATTTCCTCATCTGATGTAAAGGAAAGTCGTTGTAATGGAATTGTTGAAACTAACATTTAATGTTTACAGTGCTATAAAAACGTCTGATGACAATAAAACCGAATCTATATACTGCTCACACGTTAAAAAGATAGCTCGCCATCAATTCGTCCATTCAACAAGTGACTGACACAGTGTCATGAAAGCACGTCTTCATTCTCGTGGTTGTGGTTGTCAAGGACATAACAAAGCTATGCTTCAACTTGGTGTGCCGCATCCTTTAAACCAAAGGACTGGTAAACCAGCTAGTTGCGAAAGGGACTGTAAGTCTTGTGAGGCGCTACTTCCGGTACTAAGTTGGCTCTCTTTGCGCGTTGTTTATCACCGGAAGTATTAAGGTCTCCGAAGTGTCGTGACCTACTTAAGGGCCCTATACATTGTATGATGATGTATTAACACAGCATATATTTCTAAACAGGATACAGCGACATCGCCAACTACGGTGCTTCAGCTACTGGACAGAATGACCGATGTAACAACCAACTGTCTGGACGAAGGAGATGTCTTCACTGCCGAGTCAACTAACATTGGTAGGTGTGCCGATATGATTCAGTATTGGGGGCTCGCATACGGGATCTTCGTCGTTTAATGTTCAGAGTAGGGTACTTAAGGCATACCAGAAACTGGTGTGTGTCTGGTTGTTTTTGAGGCCGCACTCAGCAATATTCCAGGTATATGGCGGCGGACTGTAAATAATCGAGTCTGGACCTGACAACCCAGTGATCAACAGCATGAGTATCGATCTACGCAATTGGGACACGATGACATGTGTCAACCAAGTCAGCGAGCCTGACCACCTGATCCCATTAGTCACCTTTTACAACAAGAATAGTGTTACTGAAGACCAATTCTAACCCGGATCTTCACGGGTCTACTATTTGCTGTACATCTCGTTTGACCCAGATGATGTTCCAGGGACTTTCTAATACCGTTTCACCAAAGAAGTAATGATCTAGAACTTGCATGACATGAACGCAGGGACTTGCCCGCCACATATTTTCCTGTCACGCGATATAAATGACTTAAAGTAATTATTCAAAGCGGAGTTATACATAACTCACCCACTCTCTGAGAACCATCATCGTTATAAATGTTTGATTTCACCCAATAACATACAGAGATGGAAAATGAAATTTACTCATAGATGTTGAAACGGATGCCCAAATCACTTCCTGTTTTATCCCATGTGAATCTGGGTGAGAACGGGCCCACACTCTCAAGGATTGTCGTAATGGCCGACCGAACGTGGCATCATGGCTCATAGACATGGATGACTGTCGAATTATATAGTCTCCTATCGGAATCGAACATGGGACTGTGCGTTTTGAGGATATTTCTTAACATGGAAAACTTGTTGTCGCTTATATTGTTATCGACTAACACTTATGCTCATGCGCTGTTTGCCTTTCTAGACTCGAGTCATATTAAGGTCGTCGGTATGCTCTGCATATGGGAGATTACGACATATTTCTTTCACAGATGGCGTTGACCGATATAGTTTCATTCCAGACCGCTATTCCAAGCATTTCTGCGCATTTTGAATTGTCATCGACATAATATGACTATCTACACTTCCATGTTTGTTATTTAGAACTGAAGGAAGGTAAAACAGATCCTGCAGCTGTGGAAAGTATAGAGTTTTCTACCAACTCGGATTCCAACACTGGCACAAGTAAAGTCAATTTGAAGCTGGACAGCAAGACTCTGAAACAAATGACAGGTAGTATACGTTTTCTAAATCAAGTTTCGTTTTATATTTAATTTGATTTAGTATATACTCTTTAAAAAAAGTAGGGGAACCTGAACTTTCAATTTGGATAGGAAGTATAAGCAGACTCAGACTCTCAGACTCAGACTCTTTATTTTCGTAGATGATGGCCTTTGAAGCCTATAGAACAATGACGTGATTTATATGGAGAAACATAAGGACATGAGCGCCCGCTCATAGTTTCGTAGTATGAAAGTTCTGGTCAGATCGATAGCAGTATTAAACAATACAGACTTATCTTGGCTGGACATCAGTTGTGTAAATTCAAGTTTAGAGTGGTATGTTTAATAATAAGGTGGTATATTCTTCTCTCTAAGATTTTGGTACAAAGGACAAACCAGTAGGATATGACATTCGTCTTCAAAACCATCAGTGCAGAACTATAAGCGTTAACAAACGTTTCAAAGACAGACATGTTATGAACGCACCACCATTTCTCTTTATCACCACCCCTAAACACAACGCATGGGATGCATGTGCACAACGCAGTAGCCCCGTACACGTGCATGGGGTGTCATTCTTGATTTGACGGTTTTTAACGATGGTCGATAAATTCACTGTAGATCATTAATTTTGACAATCATCTTGCATCACATAGTTGTTAGTATTTGCTTCTGGCCAGGTGTTTTTGTTTGAAAATGAAAGTCGTACACATGCAAATTTTACGTCATACACCAATCATCTTTCAAGATTACTGTACAAACAACTATGGTCATAAGGAAGTGCAAGTAGTGATGCACTCTCAAAACACTCATTATTATCATATCAGCATTGATTGAGTCCGATGGATCTCAGAAATGTTTTAATCGTAAATAAAAAATGAAGTTCCCCTACTTTGTTTAAGAGTATCAGATGCATATTTTCTCCTCGTGATGGTAAAGCGCCAACAAGATATCATCCAAGCAACAAACTTCCTTCCATTTCTGAACGTAGTGTTTCTGATTCTGGAGAGTTAAGCTACAAGCCAAAACGAATGTGTACATCCATGTTATACGCTGCCTTAAATGAACTCTCCCCCATCAAACAAAAAACATTAAAAAAATGAAAAAGAAAGAAATACCCCAGAAATGGATATCCGATAGTGATATGTTTCATACGGGAATCTGTATTGGACCTCAAATGTGGATTATTTCGGCGAAAGTTTGATAACTTGTCTAATTTTTGGTAGAGTTCAGCCTTCTTCAGTATACTTACTGTTTCTCACCAGCATATTTCCCTCCTCTGCCGTGGTCGCATGTGACCTGGTTTCATTTAAAAACTCATTGCACTGAGGGTGTCGTGCATTGTCCTTATTTCATGGATTGTACAATTATTCTGAGTATTATTATCTTATTTATACTTGAATATTTTGTTTATTGTTTCAGCAGATGCATCAGTAAGATTCAGCTCAATATTCTATAAGAACATTTCATCTCTACTTCCGACCGGAGGACAAGTAGTTGAATCAGCAGGGGGTGCCACTGGGTAGGGTCAATAAAATGTTTGGTTATCACATCAAGATATATTAATATATAGTGTACAGTATGTATTTATATCCGAATAGCGTTACACTGTATAGCCACAGTTCTATGTTAAGAATGTATTTAAAATAATATAACTCTTGTGCTTTACTAATAATATGTATTTACATATAAACATTCCATTTTATCCCTCTAATATCTCATTCTTATGCCCTTAAACTTAACACATTCTTAAAATGGGAAATCGAAAAAGAAGGCTCAAGACACCCTTATACTCTGTCGTATGAACGTCGAGACTAACAATTCATAGTCAGAATATATTTATCTTTTTGTGATATATTTTTATTTGAAACTTCTGTTTCCAGCAAGAATGGATCCAGAAGACTGGTGGTCAACTCGGGTCTCCTCGCCTTTAACCTATTTCCTGCTCCAGCGAAAACGCTCGATCCGCCATTGAAGATGACCTTGATTCATACAGATGTAAAGGCTTCATACCTTTTTATTTTCCAAAGGGAAAGAGTAGACAAGACAATCGTTGATTGTATTTTAGGCCCTTATACAAGAGAGTTACATACAGAGTTGCAATACATATTGTAGGGATATACATTAGGACATAAGTAATTGTAAGTGCTCATTACGACGAATAAATGCATATTTAACATAGAGAACTAGATTACGTAGAGTGGATTCATTATTAGTTGTTAATACACTGGTAAAACCTATCAGTGATGGTTTCGATAGATAACGTTCTGGGATATACATGTAACGTAAATCTTCATAAAATGGACAGTCAAGGGTAAAATGTACTTCATCTTCTACTGAAGAATTACATAAAGGACAAGATCTTTCAGTTTTTGGGATGGAGAGTTTTCTGCCTCTATTTACCAACAAATTCAAGTCCAACAAACCTATTCTCTATTTTGCAAATATGTTTCTATTACACTTAATAGTAAGTTTAGATAAATACAATTTGGGTTGTATTTGAGTTTTAAATGTTCTATATAATTCGTTACGAGCAACAGTATTATATGGCATGCCTGCTAGCATGGCAAAGTCATTCTGAAATTAAAAGTGTTCAAATTGTATAATCCGCTTGACGGCTATGATCTGATAGCGCAAAATAGACTTAAATAGTGCACGAAATGTCTGAGTTTGGTACGTGTTCTCATTCCAGCTTTCTCTAAATGGTGAAGATCGAATGTGCGTCTACCTGAATACATCACAGGGGTATGTATTGTTTGTACCTGCCATTCTAGATGTGGCGCATAAGAAAACGTCAAATAATGGTTCAACATCGTTAGCTGAAAGCAGCTACACCCATGAAGGTCCTGGTTAGAATTGATCTTCAACCACATAAAGCTATAGTCCGTTTGGCTCAAAAGCGGACCGATGAATTGCAATCTAACTCGAAAACTAATAAACATAAAATACTCAATGAAACGCTGATCATAATCAAAACATCATACCCACTCTGTGAGGTTTTTGCAGAATATTTGTCGTAAACATAATAAAATTGTTTAACAATCTTTCATTAAAATATTGACACAGTTCACCGTTTGTTACGAGGGAGGAGTGCAGAGAAAGGGACAGCCAGGTGTTTGAGAACGGATGGAGACGGCACAGCACAGGTTAATGAATAAATAACTTTGTCTGTGAACGTGCTTCTCGAACACCTGGCTGTCCCTTTCTCTGCACCCCTACAAACAGTGAACTGTGTCAATATTTTAATGATAGATTGTTAAACAACTTTATTATTTTTAGGACAAAAATTCTGCAAAAACCTCACAGAGTGGGTATGATGTTTTGATTATGATCAGCGTTTCATTGAGTATGTTATGTTTATTAGTTTTCGAGTTAGATTGCAATTCATCGGTCCGCTTTTGAGCCAAACGGACTGTAGTTGGCGACTATGCTTTTGAGCCAAACGGACTGTAGTTGGCGACTAACGGGATCGGGTGGTTAGGCTCACTGACTTGGTTGACATATATCATCGTATCCGACATGCGGAGACCGATACCCATGATGCCTATCTGGTCCGGCGTTCAACAAACAAACAAATGATAGCAGCTTGTTCCAAGATGGACCAGCTGATGAGGGACAAGGACTTTCTGTTGAGACTAGATAATCTGTCAGGTACACCTGTCAAACCCAGATGTTACTTTAACTGAAACTATGAACTATGTGTAACCTTGAAACAATGTGTTGTTGGCAGTTGATTTTACAGATACTAGAATTGGACAAACATGTGGTGTCTCGCCAGTCTGAATCAATGTGTCCATGTAAAACCCTGATCCTGGAGACAGAGCTATTGTGAAAGAGAACTCGTTATAAGGACAAGTATGACCGAGTCATTTAAGAGTCCTACTTCGCTTTACAGGGTCGCGTCCCGTAGACAAAATACTAAAGAATTATCGTTCGCAGAAAACAAGATTCACCAACATTGTGATTCTTGCCTGTAGTTACCACACAGTTTTGCATAACGTAAACTTGCCTTGCCAAAGCTCTTCAGTCCCTATTCACGCACTGAGCTCACACACCGTCAAATTATTCCAGTACGTTAATTCCACTTATATATTCACTTGGTGTTATTTCTTCTTCAGCCTGTGGGATTCTAAGGGATGCAATGTCAGTATGTCAGGAACATCTTCCACAGAGTGCTCCTGTGGTCATCTGACGAACTTTGCTGTACTTATGAGTCCGGTAAGTATGCATAAACATACGTGAACGAGTGCGTGTGCGTGCGTGTGTTTGTGTTTGTGTGTAGACGCGTGTACCATGCTCTTTTACGTATTTCAAGCAAGGTGGTCAATGCCAAAGACATCGCAGTTCGAACATTCCGTTTACATTAAACTGAAACGCCGTGGTATAGCTGAAATATCTTTTAAAGCGACCTTTTATCAAGCTCGCTAGCTTCATTCTCATATTTTCTTATACGAAACAGTCACACCATCGGACATTTTAGACGTCGTAATAAGAGTTTAATATAGAAACAAAGCATTATCCAGCAATTAACCGTATCTGTTATGTAACATCACATATAAGACAAAGTTGTAGACAATTAGAGCTTCATATTGACAAAGCGAACATACCACTACGGTTTCGATACTGTTTCATTGTTTAAAAAATATCATCTTCGAGAATATTATTGAAATGTATTAGAAATGTACCATTGTTTTAATTTCCAGGCATATGTTAAACTAAATATAATGTTAGGTTTTAATTAGTATCATTGCCTTAACTATGATCATGTACTTTTTTACAGGACGCTAAACAGATTTTAATACGTCACCCTTTGACACCGGCAGAAATTGCTTGTTGCAGCGTGGCGATTGTGTTGTTGGTCGTCACAGTCGTCGTGTACGCCGTCACGTGGAGGTACGTGATTTTGGTAGCATCTTGGTGTGTGGTGTAAAGTTCTGCTAATGAGTTGAGTAAGCACTTATGACATGATAGTGCTATTATCGTTGAAAACATTATTGCAACTTGTGCTTACGTTACGCATGACCGGATGAAATATTCTTCCACACGTTGTACATGTCCGGTAGATTTATATCTGTCAAGCCAAGTCTAAATCTAATAACTGTATTTCTAAGTTTCTTGCTTGTAATGTTGGATAAATATGTCTCAGGTTCGATCAATGTTTTAAAGGATCTATATACATCAAATCTTGAACTTAGATTAAGGGTATTCATCAAATACTGGCGAAACATATCCATATATGGCGAAGTTCATTCATAAACAGCCACTCGTTACCGACACCTTGGAAAATCCACACATATCCAAATCCATACGAAAATAACAGATATCTTATATTTGATGCCCATGTTACATAACCAATATTATCTAAATTAAGTAGCATGTTATATGACTTTCTTGGTAGACGCTGTTCATGCATTTTCAGTATTTTGAACCAGTATTTTATGCAGCGAAGGTGAGAGTTTATATCAGGTAATATGATACACCAGGCCTTGTCACTCATACTGCATATCCTGATCATGTTGAACATCAGTGCTTGTCACCCTCCATTAAACCATGCGGTTAATACTCATGCAGTTGGTCAATGACCATGTGGACACTGTTTCAACAGCGGGGTAAACCTTGTTTGTTTTCAGCAACCTGATGCATTCTGTGTCTAGTTCCACATTGACAAGAATCTCTGGAGGGTGGGAGTTGTCATACCAATTACTGGATAACGCTTTTACTACTGCTGAGAGATCCTAAAAGATAGGGACTTTTCTAACATTTGGCCTAGGACTAGCATGTCTCTTTTACGATTCATAGCCTCACAGCACCATATTCTTGGTCGAGGATTTCAACGAAGAGGCAAATGTCTCCTGCGTTTTGGGGTTTCCTTCCAGGTGTGACTGAATACTGTTCAAAGAGTCACTGAACTCCACTCACTCATGTTCTACACCTGTGTCCAGAGGTAACGTTATCTGTTCCAGGTACATAAGATCTGACCAAGGTGTTATCGTAATCCACATATGTGTGTGTCTTGCTGTTGCTCTGCTTCTGCTCCTGATTGGGATAGGAAGGGACGAATTTGTGAGTCATACATTGCAGATCTAGCATATTAACCGAATCATCATTGTGATTATAATATCTTCCAATAATTGGTATTAATTTAGGTGCCCATACTGTTCATTGCCTTATCACGATAATGATTAAATTAGTTAACGAGTATAAATGTTTTCAAAGCTTAAACTTTCCACCTTTAAGAATGTACGTGAACTATCGATAGCCTTTCCTTAGGAATTGTACTATTTCTATAATCTGTATACATAATGTATATTTGTCACAATGAAATATAGTTGAGCTGTATTTTTCTCTCCGAAGAAAACTATAACAAAGTTTGTTGCTGCTATTTCCATGACGATATTGTCTGTCAGGGTCTCTGCATTGCCTTCGCCGTGGCCGTTCATTTCTTCTACATGGCCACTTTCTTTATGATGCTCGCTTCCGGTCTCGAGGCATTGTGGTCTGACTCGAACCTGCTCCCGAACAGGTCCAAACTCAAGCCCCTGTTAATTGGAGCTTGGGGTAAGTTATCATTTTTACTGCATTGTGATGTCTCAATTGTCTTTGGCGCCGCAGTTTGCTGTACAGAGTTGCTTTCCATGTTCACGCCAGCTCGTGGGGTTTGAATCCCGATTCGCCACCATTAGTTTTTGTCTGTGTCTGCACCGTACCTAGTTCATCACAGTGGTAAACGTCTGACACCTGCATTATTCCGGGTTTTCCCCACATACTAAGTCACTGACTGCATTATAATAAGTTTCATAACATTACGCCAATTTGAGATATGAATTATGGATCATCGAAACGTCTAGTATAATTTGGCGTTAAACTGGTGCTATCGGTAGGCCAGGACCTTTTTCTAGAACACCTACCGTCATCATTGTTTGTCAGTGATCCATTCATATATTATTCACTCATATTTTGCCTTTTAAGCCAAATGGAATCTGTTTCTTCGGATAATCGTCTCTGGCATTGATGTTGTATTTTCAAGAAGGCGCATTTCCATTTGATGTTTTTCACAAATGTCTGGCGAGTTGTGGTTAGCATACCAATGAAGCCACATATCTTTGAAAACTGATCGGTCACAATTACAGAGCCTTGAACCTAGAATCTGTCTAAAGATGCCCTCGCGTGAGCATAGATAGGTATTATCAATGTCACCCCATCTTGTACATGTACAAAACATATATTCCAAGGTTTGGAAAAACAAACAATATGATGCTTATTAAGATAATGAAGAAGGATATTGTATTCACTTTTAGTGTAGAAACCTAGAAGTGATTTGTTACATCGTTCCATTGTCCTTTTTAAACGAATGTGTCTTTAGATAATTAGTGGGTTGTTTTTTCTTTTCAAGGTTTGACCGTGCTAGCAGTCATAATCTCATGTTCTCAGTTGCAAGCCTATGAACCAGACCTGCAGTAAGTGTTACAAGTGTTATCTCATATGTAAAAGAGCTGCAAATATTTGCGTAAGTCCACAGGGAACACATGCACCTTGATAATGATGATTTTGGAGATTTTACGAGCGCTTTCCGACATGACGCGTATTTCGCACACGGATTAATTGTTGCACATTGAATTGATACGTTGTATTTAAAGCCAATGAACCTCTGAAGGTCCGGGTTCAATTCCCCACGTGAGTACAATGTGTGAAGCCCAATTCAGATGTACCCCGACGTAATATTGCTGGAATATTGCTAAAAGTGGCGTAAAACTAAACTCACTCACTCACGTTAAACTTGCTGGTCATGTGGTGAACTGTCATGTGTCTATTGTTTGCAGTTGCTGGTTGTCGCTCATGGGTGATATGAAATGGCTGTTCGTTGTTCCTGTGCTCCTCATCCTCATCGTGAGTGGTTGTTTTATTTCTATACACTGAAAATGACAAGTACGTTTATTTCACTTATATAGTACTATGAGTTTATGTTTGAATGTTTTAAGTATGTGTGTTGTATTAGTCTGGCCTAGTCCCGGATGTATAGCTCACTGTGATAGCATTCCGCAGTTCTAATATGAATAAGTCAAGCAGGCACAGTATAATGACCTTCCAGTCCTTGTTCCATCCCCCTCATGCCTAGCGCCAGGCAAAGAAACAACAAGTAGCACTGAAAAGCAGGTTTTGATGGTTTCCACTTTTGAAGTTTGTGTAATACTAAGCCATCCGGGGAGCCATATTTCACTTTGGCGTAAGTGTTTTAAACAGTACAATTAATGAGAGTCACTAATTTTAGTGTGTACCAGACCGTGTCAGCGTAATTTGCCGAAGTGACTCATGGCATAGAGTTTTCCATCCATAGTGCTGACAATACTAGGATCATACTATCGGCGGAATCGAACTTAGTCTGCGGATCATGACATGGCCAAGGGACGTAACTTAGTACTGCGTCTTCATGAGTTTGGAAGAAGGCAACATCAATTTATACATGCATTTACACGCGATAAAGTAAGAATATTATTATTGCTGACAAGTAAACAGTTTCTTCACAAAACCCATTTTCAGTTTAAACAATGCTATTCTTATTGTTACAGGTTAACTTCGTTGTAACTGGGAAAATGATACATAATCACCTGGCGAGACGGGCTGCACGACTCCAAGATGACCAAGGAAAGGAAGCGTACGTGCCAATACCTATATGTCCCCACAGAATCTACTTTCAATCCACAAACCAATTTGTAACCAACTCTCTACCTATCAAATGTATCACACCCAAAGAGAATTGGGTGAAAGAGCTTTCCCAGTTGTTTTGAGAATAGCCACCTTAGATTGGGGATCCATTCTGACACTGGTCACTGTAAAGTACTGTTACATGTACGTCAAGTGTGAGTTGAAGTTGAACGACCCTGTTCAAACAGTCATCGTATCCCAAGGTCGATGTTCATGATGTTGATCACTGGATTGTCTGGTTCAGGTTGGATTATTTACAGATCGCGGCCATATAGCTGGATTAGTGCGGCGTTAACCAACAAATTGTCTTCAGCAAGGCAGTTTACCGTAAATGATTTACCACCCATATGCTACACATAGGGCTTTAAGTTTAACAGTGACAGTATTTTTTGTCTGACATGAAATCATGGAACATTTTCAGATGTTTTTGCTATTGTTGCAGGAAATCTCTCCACTGGATGTGCTTCATGATACCGGTCCTTGGCTTGTCCTGGATTCTCGGCCTCTTGACCGTTCAAGATGGAAGCGATGTTTATGACTATCTGTTTGCAATCATCAACGTTCTGCAGGGATTGATAATCTTCATTACACAGTGTATCGCCAACAAACATGTAAATGATATATCTTGTCTTTCGAACTTTCAGACCAGAGGAAATATGACTAAAATAAACATATAAGGTGGATGTGTAGCTTTGCGTCTCTTAAGAACAATAGGATAGCCCAATGGTTAAAGCGTTCGCTTGTCACACTGAAGACCCGGGTTAGATTTCCCAAATGGGTAAAATGTGTGAACCCCGCTGTCATATTGTTGGAATATTGCTAAAAGCGGCGTAACACCCACCTCACTCACTCATAGTAACATCATGATACGCAGAAAGAAGGTTTGATGCCAAAACATCAAATCTTCGACAGTGAGTTCCCAGAGACCACTTTTACGAAGCCGTCTCGTTTTAATTTGATTTCCTCTCGTACGAGCAGTATATATGTTGAGTTGAGCTTTTTCTGGTATCTAATTGTACAGCAAACTTACATTCACAAAACGAATGTATCTCAACGATAAGACACCCGTGAAGATACGGTTTAGAATTGATCTTCAGCAACCCATGCTTGTCATAAGGGGCGATTAACGGGATCGGTTGGTCGGGCTCGCTGACTTGGTTGACACATGTCATCGTGTCCCAGATCGATTGCTTAATCGATACTTACAATATAATTCACTGATCTGTCTGGTCCAAACTAGTCTGTTCAAAGACCGTCGTCATATAGCGGCCATAAATACTAGACAAACAAACAAACAAACAAAAAAAGATGTGAATATTTCCCCCTTCATTGCAGGTCCGTAAAGGTATTGCTAGTTTACGACGACCACGTGATCAGCGCACCACAGAGGTATAGTGTGTCCTTTGTACCACGTGATTTCTATGTCAAAACAGTGGCGGTGGGGTAGCCAAGTGGTTAAAGCGTTCGCTCGTCACGCCGAAGACCCGGGTTGGATTCCCCACATGGGTACAATGTGTGAAGCCCATTTCTGGTGTCCTCCGCTGTGATATTGCTGGAATATTGCTAAAAGCGGCGTGAAATCATACTCACTCACTCACGCACTGTATGGAAACAAGATAAAAAAAGTTCAATCCACTCTACTTCTAGCAGAGAGAGAGAGAGAGAGAGAGAGAGAGAGAGAGAGAGAGAGAGAGAGAGAGAGAGAGAGAGAGAGAGAGAGAGAGAGAGAGAGAGAGAGAGAGAGCTTTGCATCAGCCCATACAATCGTTACATGGCGTAAGTTCTCAAAACTAATTCATATATCTTAAAACCTCTACATCCTTTTTTCTGTAGCGCGAACTTGAAATGGATGCATTGAGGGAAGATGCAGACAAGAAAAGTGAGTCAATTTTTCACATTCTGACATGTTTATTTGTTGGATGTATCTGTTTTCAGTTAAAAACAAATAAAACTGTTATTAGTATTAAAACCGTAGGACTTGATTTAAAATATTTCTGAAATATTCCATACATATAACTATTATATTTGAATGTACAAGACATACCGGTATATTTATTGGGATTCCTTAAAACTATACATTTTTTTAGAATGTCGGTTATATTGCTTTGGTATAAAAAAATAATTACACAAAAAGATAGCATATGCCGATACTATTTTTGTGAGGACATCAATCGTTTTCAAGGAACTGTGAGATATATTTTTGTAGTTAAAGTGTTCGTCACGTCGAAGACCTGGGTTCGATTCCCCACATGGGCACAATGTGTGAAGCCCATTTCTGGTGTCATCTGCCATGATATTGCTGGAATATTACTAAAAGCAACGTAAAACTAAATTACCTCACTCACTCACTTGTAAAAGCACAGGCAAAGCATGTTGTGCAATATTTTCGGGAATATATATGAATCAATAACATTACACTTTCTACAGATGATGCCTGAGCAAGTGGAGCCTACCATTACATAGATAATACCCAGCGTAGTAGTGGGGCATGTTGTGCAATATTTTCGGGAATAATTATGAATCAATAACATTACACTTTCTACAGATGATGCCCGAGCAAGTGGAGCCTACCATTACATAGATCATACCCAGTGTAGTAGTGGGGCATGTTGTGCAATATTTTCGGGAATAATTATGAATCAATAACATTACACTTTCTACAGATGATGCCCGAGCAAGTGGAGCCTACCATTACATAGATCATACCCAGCGTAGTAGTGGGGCATGTTGTGCAATATTTTCGGGAATAATTATGAATCAATAACATTACACTTTCTACAGATGATGCCCGAGCAAGTGGAGCCTACCATTACATAGATAATACCCAGCGTAGTAGTGGGGCAACAGACCTTCAGCAGTATGAGTCCCTTGAGGCTTCACAGCATATTGAAAACGTTTACGAAGATATGGACCGCACAGCGACACAAACAGGATTGTTTGCAAAGGAGTTCAGTGAAGAAAATCAGTATGCGAACGAGCAGGCGAATCCTGTTGGCGGGGCGAACAGGATGCCAGATCCTGCCAAGTCTGGAGACGGTGGCAAGCTACCCTCGGATGTCTTGTACAGAAATATCCAAGAAACGGAAAGAAGACCAATGATACCTTCCCGTGGGAACCGGAGATAAGGCGAGTAAACAATGGGAGTGACGATCAGTGTGCAGGTCAGGACATAACTATACATATATAGATTCCAAAGACCATAAATTGTATGCAGCTTCTTAAGAAAGATGTAATGGAACGAGCATCTGTGTACAGATGTAGCTTATTAAGAAAGACTTAATGGAACGAGCATCTGTGTACTTACAATGTATGCAGCTTCTGAAGAAAGAATTAATAGAACGGGCATCTGTGTACAGGTGTAGTTTCTTAAGAAAGATTTAATGCCACGAGCATCTGTATACAGATGTAACTTCTTAAGAAAGACTTAATGGAGTGAGCATGATTCATTCAATATGTATGTGTATAAAGGAAATTGTCACAAAATTTTCACGAAATGAATCAGAATAATTTGTTATAAAATTTATGTTGGGAATCGGAGTACACGTTCGCTCCGACAAATGTACATGTTGTATATACATTGACAATACAATTTTTTCATGACTATAAACTATAGGTCGTATCTATTTCATTGAAAGAAAATGCTATTTCCTTATTGGTGAAATATAAATGTCTTTTCAGAATTGTGTGCTCTTCCGTGAACGTGAAGCAGTGTTGACCAAGGTGGACGAAACTTGCCTTCTCCACGCCTGGATTGAGGGGAATGTTAATGTTCTACGATATTTTATTTTGAATAGTGGGTAGTGCATTCACGTGCTAAAACATCTGAAATGAGCTTAAGTCATGTCCGAGTCGCTGGTAGTATGTGCACCATATTCAGTATCTAGTTACCATAGGCAAACACATGGTATATGGACAAGATCTTGTATGGTTATTCTAACATTTCAATGTAAGTCAGCACAAGGAATGATATCCCTGTAATGGCTAGAGCTTTGTAATGATTTTGTTAAAACAGAGGTAGTTTTGAAAATAATCATTGGTAAAGCAATTGTTGTATTTCTGTGAAGAGAGTGTATATTTTTTTGTAAGCATTTGTATATTTTAAGCATGCATCTATACACGATTGGTATATTTCTATACACAATGCATATATCTTTTTACAGTAAGTGTTATATATAGTTAACAGTGATGTATCTCTCAAAAAGAGAATGGTTGTACCTCATTATACAATGCTGTATCTCTTTAATTACATTTCTATTCTTCAAGCAATGGTTGTGTTGTTTACAACAATGGTTGTTTCTGAGAAAACAGTAATTGTGCCATTTAATTTAGAGAGGTCGGTATATCTGTGAACAATGATTGTATTTGTTTCAGCAGGCACATCAGAAAGTTGTTATACAACAGGGCGAAATGTGACCGTGTACATAGTATAGTCGTGAGTGGGACGACTTCCAGACTCTATATACGTTCACACTCTATATGCTATATACGTCGTATTACCACTACATTGTACATTTAACATTAGTAATCCTTTAACCAGATCAACAGGCAGAGTATATTGCAGCCCATGTTTGTTGTAAAAGTTGCTTTCAAATAAAACCATATTGAAACATGCATCTGGTTGAGTTTGTGTTGTTAATTTAGTCCAGTTATCTCCCTTGCCTGATCCTCTCATTACAAGTTCGAATTCGAAACGTTTATCCGTGGTTTATCGGCAGTGTTTCATCTGGTGTTTCACTCCACTGTTAAAGACTTCCAAACTTGATACTAACATACTCAAGAACTATTGGCCCGTTTCAAACTTGACTTTTCTTTCAAAACTTGTGGAGAAAGCTGTTACCAGACAACTAATGAAGCATATCAAACTCCATGACATCCTTGATGACTATCAGTCTGCTTATCGTCCGCAGCATTCAACACAGACCTTGCTCCTGAGAGTTGTTAATGATCTCAGGTGTCTAGTGGATTCTGGTGACATGGCAACGCTGACTCTTTCAGATCTCAATGCAGCGTTTGATACGGTTGATCATTCCAAGCTTCTGGATATTTTACAAGTTGGTATCAGTGGAACAGCGCCCTCTTGGCTTGCATCTTATCTCCATGTCAGGCGACAGACTGTATATGTCTCCGCACAGTTTTCGGATAAGACAGTGCTCTCATGTGGAGTCCGACAAGGTTCAGTGTTGGGACCTGTGTTGTTTCTCTTATACGTAAACTGTCTCAAAACCACAACTGACAAGTTTGTGACTACTCATTTTTCATATGCAGATGATGTTCAACTGATGAATAGATTTAACACTGAATCAATTTCTGACACCCTACAACAAACTGAAAACTGTACTTCTGAAATTAAGTCATGGATAACCGAAAGAAAACTAAAGTTAATTGACGATAAAACAGGTATTATTGGTCGGAAGACAACAGCACATCGACAAGGTAGATGTTGAGCGAGTGATGATTGCTTCTGCCTGTATCTCCCCATCACGACAAGTTAAAGATCTTGGAGTAAAGCTACAGTCGGACCTTTCCATGTCTGCACAAGTGGATCATCTGTGTAAGACATGCTACTTTCACATTCGTTCCATTGGTACCATCCGAAAATACATCACTAAAGAGAGTGCACATATCCTGGTCAGATGTCTTGTGTCTTCCCGCCTAGACTACTACAATAGCCTTCTCACTGGAATATCCAAAGAACACATGAAAAAACTCCACTTTTGGAAAGAGGAGTTTTCAGCATGTCGCGCCTCTCTTATGGAACTCTCTACCGCTCCAAATCAAACTCGCCCCGACCCTGGACTCTTTTAAGAAGGCCCAAAAGACATTCCTTTTTACTAAAGCCTATAATTGACATTTTCCCTTCTTCTGTAAATAGTTTTAATGCGCCACGAACATGCATGAGTGGGAGGACACTGGCGCTTTACAAATATCAAGTATTATCTATATTATTATCACCGTGTGATTCCCCAAATTGTAAACCTACGGCCTTTGACCAGTACAAGTAATTTAAGCATTCTTCTCGTTTATGTCGTGATATAGTGGCTATACTGTTAAACACGGTTTTAGATAAAATTAGACCTTTCATAAAGATCTACTATTAGATGTAATGGCTGTTTATTATAGAAATAACTTGTCTACACGTTGTGTTACTCGTTGTGTTACTCACCCATATACAAACTAAAACAGAAACAAGATGTTGTATCTAAGATTCCAAAAAGGAGTAAATTCATCAACATCGTTAAAGATAGCAATGGATGAAATTGATGAAATACTGAAGGCGCTAGCACCTTTATAACTTGGCCTAACGGATCATTGTGTCCCTTCTAATGTAATTGTCTTTGTTACGTGCCCGGAGCAGGACCAAACACCCAGCTACCCTGTCAAACATGGTCTCCCTTAAAAATTCCCGGCATGACCAACATTGCCTAACTTCGATTCACCACTTCCGCCTGTGTATTTGACCACATGCCATCAGAAAACTAGTAAAGAGAAATAGAAGGATATTTTGCGCCACGTTCTGATGCTTATTTCGTGTGAAGGTTTGTTTTTTTCTTAACAATATGAACATCCATCCGCGCAATTGTGATACGATGACATGTGGTCAACCACGTCATCGAGCCTTACCACTCGATCCCTTTAGTCGCCTCTTACAGCAAGCATTGGGTTTTGAAGACAAATTCTAACTCGGATTTTCACGATTTGGAGTGAAGCTCAAGTCGTTACAATTGGTAAGTTGAATAAAACATTGAGTTTTAGCATTGCCTTATGAGGGCGGGCATTGTCCTGTTTGAATGTTAACCCAGGGCCATGACGTTGCAGAAAAGGAATTGACACAGGTCGAAGAATCTGATCCCTGTAGCCAACACCAGTTAAGTTGCCTTGAACAATTACCAAAGGAGTTCTTTGGCGTGCTGTTATTCCACCTCAAAACATCACGGAACCACTACCAAAGCGATTCCTCTCCAAGACACAGGCCTGTGCATAACGTTCTCCCAGGCGTCTATAGGCACGTTGACGTCCATCACTATGGGAAATGTTAAACCTGGACTCATCTGTAAAAACAACATTTCATCACCAAAACAAGGGTCTACGGACAAGATTTGGGCACCACATTCGGCGAGCTTGTCGATGACGTTGTGTCAGGATAGGCCGTATGGCGGGACGTCGTGGTCTGATCCCGTGATGACGTAAACGTTGTCGAACTGTGTTGGGGTGGATACGCCTAATCCTGGGATGGTTCGGGCAGTCATCACTGCAGTCTGAAACCTGTGGGGAAGATGGGTCACCCTTATCCATATGCCTGTCACGTGGACGTCCAGAACGTGGCCGATCGATGACGTCATTTGTGTTCTGGTAGCGTCTCACCAGTGCAGAAATGGTGTTCCGGACGCAGTGGAAATGTGCAGCCACTTGTCGTTGAGACATTCCCCCATGGACCATCCCAATGGCCTCATGACGTTGTGCAGACGTGAGCCTTGGCATGCTATGCGTTTCAATAGCCGTTTAGTTTTTTGAGCGATCGCAAGGGCAGGGGTTGAGCTTTCCAAAGTGACAGTATTGTGTGGCATTCATTTGCTCTGTTTCTCTTTCCCTGAATGCACGTGCAACAACGTATTGCACGTCTCAAGGACGGACCCACTGACGTCACGGAACGTGGCACATGCATGCATGTTGGATACATGTCACTAATCTCTGAGTTTGAATCCTTATGTGTCTACACAGGTTTGATCAATTTATATTTTAATTTTTTGTATGCACAGTTTCTTTATGTGCCTAGTATATATAACATTGTCAAATTTGAGTTAGCAGCCGGTGAAGAATGTTTTAAAAGAATTTGGATCCAAGCAGTTTGAAAAATTATTTTAATGGTGCCTATGCCCTTTATGAATCCGAACGCCCAAACGATCCTTCACAAATGGTCACCGCTGGAAAGACAATCACACAATACCGACTGTAAACACTGCTCATCTCTACTGTAAAAAGAACACACTAAGACAGTGTTTTGTTGTACATTTAGTAAATGCTGTAATCGTTTCATACGTTCTCGGACACCAGAGACTGCGGTACACCGTTGTTTCAATGTTATCATCCATGAGCCATACGCCCCTAATAGAGTGAGTGAGTGAGTGAGGTTTAGAAATAGGCTTCACGCATTGTACCCATGTGGGGAATCGAACCAGGGTGTTCGGCGTGACGAGCGAACGCATTAACCACTAGGAGACACCACCGCCATATTAACAAACTTAAAAACAAACTCATTTATCATAAAGCTTGCAATTGTTTATGTGTGTAGAATCAGATCATCAAACGGCTTCAAATACATACAGAAATCACCCTACACACGATTTCAACATATTTACGACAGAAAAATATATGCATAAAAATATGCAAATGTTATGAAACTAAACATTCAATTACAAGTTTGATGGACATAAACGTTTGTGTAAGCACAGTGCATAGAGTAACTCAAAGGTGCATAGTTTTGCAAATTTTTTAATTAATTTTAGTTGAAATCTACTTTTACTGGTATGTTTCATCATGGTCCGTTTCCTGTCAAATCACCACAAGTGAAAATTAGTTTAGAATAAGAACCGTACATAGCCTACAGCATTAATCACTACACATAAAGGTGACCCAGAGCAATTCCAGCTATGAATTAGTCACCATTAGGTGATCTCCATAGAACTGTGAGCCATTTTCCCACAAGTCAAATTAGTTATATTGTCCGAAGATTAATGATTCGTGATACATCAGAGAAATCAATGTATTTGTACATAGGTTCGTGTCACTGATGAAATAACCGTATAGACGAAAAACAAAGCTATCACAAAATAAACAATAATTATGAAAGTAATTAAAAATTGGAAATCCTATCTCAAACTCTTTGGCGATGACAATACTGACTACATAGCTGGTACACTATTATTCGCCTTATATGATAACAAATAATATGTGAATGGCGC